GATATTATAATAAGACGTGTTGCCGCCAATATCGTAGATCCTGTGTAACGCGGGCCCATTTATAAACAATAACAGATAGTAATACAGTGGCGTCGATCGCTTAATTTATCCGAGACACATGTCATAGCAGATTTTGTAGCTGAGGGGGCCCACCAAGGAGTTGAAAAAAAAAATGGCTTATACAATGAATTACGTGGGTGCGTTGAAATTAAAAAAAAAAAATTGGGGTGCCCCCTAGGTGTACGATGTCATAGTATATTTTAAACACTTCGGCGCCATTGGAGTAATACGAATTCTCGACTCGCGTATGCATACCGTCTACAGTTCTACACTATTATTTTATCTTGCGATGTCTGCGCGCGTCCTTGTTCTATTATATATTATTATTATTAACTATTCCTTTTACAGCATCGCATTTGCATATTAATATACCACTGTAACGTGTGTACGTATTCCGATCCTGACCCTAAACTAAATGAGTTCTTGATTATGGGTTTACCATTTTTTTTTTTTTTTTTTCTAAACGTTTGTATATATAGGTATGACTGTATGACGTACCGACGCGTACATATTAAAATTCGATCAATTAAATTTGACATCGATTCGATTTCGTAGTTCAGTTATAGTAGGTGCCATAACATAGATTTCGTTTTAATATTCGTATTACATTCGTCGGTCATAAATACTACTATAAAAATATTATTATACCACTGTAGTATTTTATAACCAATGGTATTATTATACCCACAATCGACGCGGTATATAGGTATAACCTACACAACGTGATATAATATTTCTATAATATTATTCATACGCGTATCAAATATTTATTTTATATTACTTTTTTGTTTTTTTTTTTTTTTTTTTATAACGTATACAACTTTGAAATTGCTATGTTTATAAATCAAACTTTTTTGTTTAAGAAAACAAACTTTCACTTGTGTGTAAACATAATATACCTGTAATGCACGCGGATTTATTTTAATGCACAGAGTTCGGTTTTCAACTATATCGTTTTCGAATAAGCTATCTGCGTACATATTATAGTAATAATCTTTTCTTTTTTTTCTTGCTTATCTACCCTCTTACTAAGACCAGTCAAATTGTATTAATTAATTTAAGGATCGGATAGATTCAAAGGGGGGGCGGGCTGTCACATTATAAAATCAAACACTAAAAAGTACTTAATATAAAATTATATTTTTTAACATCGTAACCAGGGGGGGCAGACGCCCCGTCTTCCGGGCGCCCGTGATCATATCTGTATTGATTTTATATTATCGGTATTATTAGCGCACCTATTAATGTATTTTATATGCTACAAACAATTCGTGTATTTATAATATTAGTTACAGACGACTCGTGATAATTTTAACCTTGAAAGCTGAAAATATTATTTTCGGCGACAACGTATAAAATATTATTGCATACAGGTAACGCGAATATGTCCCCTAAAATATAATACAGTCACAATATTTCAATTATAATATATTATATTGATGATTTTTATTATTTTTATCTTGTCATGTCCGGTTTCGCGAAATTGAATGTATTTGAAAAAAGATACAAACATACTTCGCACGATAGGTGGGCCACTTTTGTAGGTGAGAAGTTGAAAAGGTTGGATACATAAACTTATTTTATTTATATCTATAAGCGACAATGAACCATTGTTAACGAAAACTATTCTGAGCGAAGAATTATGTATACATATAATTTGAAAGGCAGTAATATTTACGAATTTCATCAAAATTTTAACTTAAAACCATTATATAAAAATAAATAAAATTAAAAAAAATTAAAATATCTACATTACATTTTTGTTTAGTTTAGACCATTAAGTACAACTTATAATGAATCCGCTGGTTAAATTTTCAAGTATTCCTGGTTGGTCAAAAAATAATTTTAATATCCATAATAGTATCCACCGAATAAAAACTGATAAATATGAGTAGCTCAACATTTTTTGCAAATTGGATTTAGAATATAGATTTTTTTGTTAAAATTTCAAATCTATAATATTTTCAGCCGAGTTATAACCAAAATAACCCATTATATCCGTTCACTTTCTCGTACTTTCTACGTTTGTTTCCAGTTTCGATGAATAATTAAGAAAACTGCAATGAAAATCAAAAAACTAGCTCATCAACTAGATTAAAAATGCAACAAAATCGGTCTATCGCCATTATTCGAACGGAGCAAGTTTTCCGGCCAAAAATTCGTTTACAGACAGAAAAAAAAAAACTGCACATTAAAGTAGAACCAATAGATCCCCCTCATCGCCACGCACCACGCTCTAAAATATACAAATTGGCAATATTACAATAAATTGAATAATAATGAAGACTAATATACAGTACAACTTAGTTTTAGTGCCCAATAAATGTCATACTAATAATAATAATAACAATAATAATAATAACATAATTGTACTTAATAATAAATCAAGCGATTATGGTCAACAGATTTTTAAGTTGATTCAATAAATTTTAAAAAATAATAATAATAATAAAACACGATACTATTATTACGTTTTAGTTCGATTGCCTAATTAAACAGTACTTAAATTATAATAAAACAATAATATACTATTGAAAGCATGATACATCGACAAAGAATTCGAATAAATATATGTGTATGTAGGTAGATACACGTGCGGTTTTGTTTGTTTTTTTATTTTTTATTTTTTATAACTGTTTGATTTTTAAAATTTTTTTTTTTTTTGTGTTTTACTCATTATTATTTTCGTTTTTTACTCGTACCTATCGCATAATATAACTGCATTATATAAATTAACAATATTGTACAACGTTTAAGATAATATAGCTAGATATAGGTACCTACCTAATAGTAAACGCGTGTATCACGAATTTGTTTAAGATAATAACTATTATATTGCAGTGCCCGTTTTAAGTAAATATAATAATATTATGTATTTAATATTTTATAGTACCAACCCACCCATGTTATTTTATCACTGCAGTTGTACCGAGAACAAACACTATAAAATTGCAGATTCTGCATATATTTTAATGCGAAACGAGTTTTTTTTTTTTTAATTAGGTACCTATATCTATTGTGATAAAAAAAAAAAACCTATTATTGCACTTGAAATTTTATATACGCGTTATAAGGAGTGTCAAGAGATGTTAAAATAAGTAACGAAAAAAAAAAACCGCGATCTTAATCAGTCAGTAATTAGAAACGAGTGTTTGATGTTCTAGTAAACTATTGAGTTTTACAGTCGTCGAAACGAAATAACCGTACAATTGTATACGAAAAAAACCCATGTGAAAAAAAATTCAAGTAACGAAAATATATATACATTTTTTTCCCATTTCTATCAAATCTTTTTCACGTTTTCAATGCGCATATTTATCGATTGTGACGTCGGATGTCCTTAATAAAAAAAAAAAAAAAAATGGTTTACCACTTTGAAAATCGTATAAAGGTCTCTGTGGTCGTATAACATCGATTCGCTATATTATATCAAAAACATATAATAATATAACCAGATGTGATATTTTGCTAAGTTATGATGTGTGTTCATGGCGGTGACGTCTCCGAACCGGTTTATTTTAATTCAACTTCTCGTGTTATTCTATATAGATTATAGGTATAATACCTATGTATTATATTAATAATTAACGTAATAATTCGAATTATTGTTTGTGTACGAACAACTTTTCGACAACATTTCACAAATTAAAACCTTAACAGGGATTTTCTGATGGCAGAATATTTCGTTTACAGTAAGTTGGTGTATCGCGACGGTCCTAAGATGTTCGGTTTTTGATTTTTCTTGTTTTCTCAGTAAAAGGGAAAAAAATTGCGATTTATCGTTGAGTATGTAATTTAACTTTAAACTAATAAATTATCCGATATATCTTGACTTCCCGACTTCCCACCTATATAACAATGACCCAATGTTTTTAACATATTATTTTTTACTTATGGTCACGAAGAATTACGGATTATTTAATGATAAACAGTTATTTTTACTCGCCAAGTATAGATTTTAAACAGTTTTTACGCCCCGGGCCAAAATAAGTTTCATCTTCCCCCTCTCATTTACATAGATTACATGTCTATAGTTAAACAATTTCTTTATCTTCATTTTTCTTTTAAGATTCCCGATCTTATTTGCTTTATCCTCTACAAATTGCCACATAAAATCATTTAAATTTTACAGCTATGGGCGATTATAATTTTCCCACACTCCTAAATATGCCACTGTTTTTAATATAGAATATACAACATACGTGCAATCGTGCGACTTAACACATAGCGTTTTAAGTTAATACAGTCATAATGCACGTGTGAACGCGTTTTTAAAGCACGTAAAGATGCTCATTTATCATTGTATATTTAAATCGATTTATCTGTTACTCTGAGATTAAAAAATGCATTTAAACCCGGGCCCTGGTTTAAACGCAGGGTCGTGGAGAAAAATCAAGGGCTTCAGGGACAAACTAATCCGGGACCTCCTCACACAATCAAGTATTAAACTTACCACTAACATCCAGCATTCCAGCGTCGTCAATTAAATATTGTACACTAAAAAGACATCGTATAGATATTACATAATTATGGTATAATGTATAAGTACTGTTATTTGTTATATTATTCACCCTGATACTTAAAAATATATGATGTTTTTATAATTCATAAAAATAAATGTGCTGATTTAAGGTATACAAAAAAATTATATTGCAACTAACACTTATAATAATATAGTACAAAGTCATTATTATAAAGTTTCATTTTAGAGTCTTAAGCTTAACAGCTTTTGTAACTTTTTTGTTTGCAACACCGACCCATGTTAAAAATAAGACCCGGTAAACTTGACCGGACTCCGAGCCCTCCTTGAGACCCCAGGCCCCAGGGCTACAGCCTCGGCGGCCCAACCTCTTGTCGGACCTGGTGTAAACGATTAAATCGGTTTAATACGAATTAGCATTTTTAAAGTGGATATCTGAGAATTTTTCTATGTAAATGGAAAACATTCGCATAACAGAGTTAATCTTAGTTAATGCCAGTCCGCCGTGGGTATAAAGTTAATCTTGAATGCATGAACTTTAAGTACAATAATTTATGTCGCATAAACGACTGCATATAAATAAACACCATAAACGTGGTAGGTATCAATAATCGATACACAAAGCATCTGCAAGTCGTAAATATCATAATATCGTTTAGACAAAGAACTAAAACTTGCGCTATAGCTGATACCAAGGTAGCAGGTACCTTATTACCATTAATTGGCATAACCTATACCTACCTACTCTTTGTTACGAAATTACCTGTTATTCGGACCGTATAGGTACTTGTATTCCAATTTATTATTATTCATAATAAATACATGGGATAGGTGTATAATATTATAATAAAGAATAGGTATTATCATTAGATAGGTAACGCTTTTCTCGCGCCAATATGTTATGCAAAATATTACAGACGATATAGATTTCCAACACGATAGGTACGTATTAGGTGATAATTCAATTACCGATTGATCAGCTATCTATGCAAGTAGGTAAAATATTTTATACATTAAACATAACAGAATAATATTGATAGAAAAAATATTAAAAAAATAGTTATTATAGGTAACGATTTTAACGTCATTAACATGTTTACTGTTTATTATTGTTATTATTAGACATAGGATATTGACGATTTTTCGAATACTATCATCTTGGCTAAAAACTCGTTTTACGCTTTATAGATTCGGAATAAATATATATATATATTTTAATTTGTATTTATGGGCACTTTTAGCCATACACCTAAATGCATTTTATTGTTTTTTTTTTCAGTTTTTTTTTATAAAATATATTACTATAGTTACAAAATTTGTTTATTTTATTATAACCAAAGTAATGAATTATTCTTTATTCTTATTTAGTTATTCATTATTCTTTGTCATATCAATGCAAATCTTACATTTTGAAAAATATGTTTATGATTACGTATTATTAGTGGAGGGTTTTTATTGTGATTAATTTCATGTTTGTTTTTAACATATTGATTTAAATATAATATTATGTATGTACATACAATTATTTTTTAAATGCATACATAATAATATAACGATAAAAACAACTTAAGCACCGTTGAAGCGTTTTCAAATAACTAATTAATTAATTGGTAAATTTATTTAAGCAATTTTTTCGATCTTTTTTGTTAATTTTTAGAATAAGATCAACATCTTATCTTTAGTTTTTGCATACTGCATATACTATTTTAGTGCAACGATCAGTATCTCCAAAAAATTGAATAGTTGGAAAAATTAGTTCGATTTCTTTGTTTTCCCCAATGAAATTATTTTTTTCTCGCTTCTTTTTGTATAAATTATGTATAGACCCATTCTTATGGTGTTGCACAACACCATAAACAATTAACAATTCGTTATATTACTCTTTTGTATTAACTGAAAATTGCATTTAAGCCTACCAAGTACCTAGTTTAAAGTGTAATGTACCTATTGAAATAATATAAAAAAATATTTGACTAACCATTTTGTATTTACTGATAGTAATAATTGATGATAAAATATTAGAATGTTTAATACATAATTGGTTAGGTATAATAGCTAGTACCAAGGTAGACTAGGTATCTGATAAATCTCGATAAATGTGTCTGAAAAGTAGGTAAAATCATTCATAGATAAAAGATAAATTATAGGCACTTACGTACTGTAAAACCGTTTTAACTAAGATTACATTATAAATATGCAGAATACACATCGAGAAATCAGTTTACTAAGAAAAGAGTATTAATACTACTAGAGTAGTACGTATTCAATTGTACACACTGCTTTATTTTCTAGGACGTGCTACTTATTGACATATTGTTTTTCCCCTTTAGGTATTGGACAATATTTTGTTCGATACCATTTTAAAATGCATTTATAGTGGAGTTACTGAGTTTTATTCAAGGAAAAAAACGCAGAATTATCCAATGACCCCGAAAATGAAATAACCTCAATTTTGAAAATTTGGCATTTACTGCTTGTTGCACTAAGAGCAGTTTTGTGTTTATTTAATGAAGTAAATGGAAGTAGATACCTGTATATATATTTATCTGGTCATCATATTTTTGTAGGATACATAGGTAAAAATATGCAGATAAGTAGGTACTCTAAAAAAAAAAAAAAATCCCAAAACCAAAATAACTATAGTTTAACGAACTTTACGACTACTACCTAAATGACTATACGAGTACTATAACCACAGTACAGTAAAAGTTGATGTTGTTAATAACTGGAGCCAACCGCAGAATTAAAATTATAACTATACTTGACACACCGGAGAAAATAAACGTCAAACAAATTAATTATCATTATAATTAATTTATGTATACTAGGTACCTATTTTTTTATATTCAGTGACTCGGTATTATCGTTATCTTATAATATAATTAATGAAAATCAACATCCAAACCTCGTTCATTAACTAATGTATATATATATATAGGTACGAATTTAATGATAGGTCAGTACCTATTATTCGAATAGCTCGTTTGTTTTTTAGAGTTTTTTATTTGACTATCCGGGCGGCAGCGTACGTCATAGGGTATTTTCAATCTAATAATTATTTAGACTTCATCGGCTAATGACTATAAAGCATCGAAAAAAATATCAAAATAATTAATTTTGATGATATTCCTATGTACTTACCTACTATTAATATTGAAACGAAAAATATTTTCTCAATCACTTAGAAAGTTAGAACACACGACTTAAAAAAAACACGCATAAACATGTTTATCAACTTTTTATTTTCGAATAGCGACTCCCATTTTCAATCTATATTCGAAAATATAATATACTCGTATTATACAAATTTAGATAGGTATGTCAATTGAAACGCAGTGCATTTTTTTTTTTAATGAACAAATTTTAAATACAAGATAGGTTTGGTTAGCTAATCTAATCTAATCTTTCTAGTTATTTGCTAATGTTTTCTTATTGTTTTTTTCTTTATGTTCTTCTAAAATATTGAGACAATGAGACGTTATCAAAACATGTCCACACATAAACTTTATAAACATTAAGGTAAAGAACAGGTATATATTTATATATTTATATATTAATTCAAATAGATAATTTTTTTTTAATTATTCGCTAATGTCAAGAAATTTAAAAATGTTCAAAACGTCCCAATATTTATATAATTCAACATGCATAATATAATGTATTTTAATTTTATTTTAGTGTAGGGAATGTATTAGCTCACCAAGTTTTAGGATTTTCACCAGCCCAAAATCATACAAAATGTATCTAATTGACATAAATTCAATTGAAAACATATATAATTTTGTAAGGCACACCGAGATTTTCTCGGTAGCTCGATAGTTCAATCCGGGCCTGAGCGTAGCGATGAATGTGTTGGTTTTACTATAATGTATGTGTGTTGCTTTTCTGCCTATTGTTTTCTCAACCAGAAATCTTACTCTAATCAAAAAATAGCAAGAGATCTTTTTTTATTGCATTTTGGATTTACTTGAAGCATACCATGGTCCATGGCTGGTCATTTTTTAATTTTCCAAGTAGCTTTCATAATAATTGGGAAAAACAGGAAATAGCTAGATTTAAGAAATACTAGAAAGCTTTCGGCGTTAATAGTTTCGTTATTTTCGATTTTCGTTTATAGTTGTAAATCGGTTAAAAATGATTATAGAGAACTGACATTTGCAGAATATACATATACATTAGCCTTTTTTAGAGGTAGTAATATTTTCGAAGCATTTTGATGATTTTTGAGTTATTTTAAATTTTCATTTGGTAGATTAGGTTAAGTAAGTTATACATTGTACATTGTACTATAGGAAGTATCATTGAATATAAAATAGACTATAAGTCTATTAGTCTATTAATAGATCTATAGTGAAAATCTAATTTTGATGAAATTTTAAAAATTCGGTCATTTTAAAACATGTACAACTGAACTTCGCTCAAAATCGTATTCTGTAAGCAATATTTTAATACTGCTAAATTAAATTGCCAACTTTCCACGTATAACAATATCGCACCCATTTTTTTTTTCTGACATTTAAAAATAATAAACAGCTTTTACCAGAAAAATACCAAAATGGAGCAAAACCAGCAAATTACCTGGTTGATTTCAAATTTTTATTTTATGATTCTCCGAACAAGTGCAATAATATGAAATTATAAACATTATATATATATGAATACTTTGCGAAAAATTAAAATTTAGTACATGCTAATATTTAACATTCTTATAGTTCTTGCATTCATTATATAATTTTTATGTAACCTATCTATTTAATTAAGGACGGCAATTCTGTTATCAGTGAACACCTAAATTATTGTAGTAATCTATCCAAATATAACTATCTTAACTTATTAACCTAATTTGGCACATTTTATACTAATATATATTTTAGGATTTACTGATACAGAAATATAATTTTAATATAGGTGTAGCACTTATTCATATTTAATATCCCTTCAGAATTTTTTTTTTTGTAATCTAACAGATAGTTACAAAAGTAATATCCACTACTTATATTTAAATGATAGTTGAGACAATTTTGTTTATTATTAGAAATTAATTAATCACTCTCTATGAGTACTGATATTAATTTTAGAAATCATAATTAAATTAAAAAACATTCAAATTTTCTAACAAATTAACAATACAATTAAAATACTTAAACACTATTTAGCAACATTATTTTCAATAAATTGTCTTCATGTGAAAACATTATAAATGTTGTAGGACTTTTTAAACATAAATTTATTTAAAATATGTATAAAAAAAACAACTGGTTAGTATATTAAGTATAGTTAAAAAACACCAATAAAAATATAGAAGTTTATTAGGTTATTATGAATTTAGTAAATATAATAATACATACTATTTTTTATATTCTGTGTACATGTTTGTAAGTTTTATCAATAAATATACAAAATAACTATCTTAAAAAATAATTAACAACTTGTTATAGGTACCTATAATTGTAATTAAATAATAACTACTGATATGCAGAATTATGTATAATATAGCTAAGTACATTTATTTTTGATTGATAACAATGTCGAGTTCCTAATCCTAAATTCAAGTAAAATTTTATCTATTCAAATTTAAAATAATAAACAAATATTATACTATTTTAGAAAGTTATTATTATACAACAATAGTAGACCTATACCGTATATACTTGTATGATTCGTACAATTTTCACAATTTTGATAATTTTATATTTTTTAGGTAGGTATTAAATATATACCTATGTGGTATATGCTTATAAACTATAATATATCATTTGCTTTTGATTTATAAGTAGGTATTTAAAGGGAATGAGGAACATTGTCATGTTACATTACTGTGATGTATTAACTCATAACCCTATTGTCAAAACGTTAAGTTTATAAATCATAAACCATATAATGGTACCTACCTACAATACATCAGCACTATAAACACAAAAATAATCTATATCGGGATATAAAATTAAAAAATATATACAATAAAAAATATTGCAATTCAAATACAAATAAAAAACTTAACAAAATATGAAATACTATAAAATAAAGGTACAAAACCGTTTTTCATTAGTAACTCAAGACATATTTGTATGAACTTAAAAGATACAACGGACATCATAAGACAAGTGAACATATTTTTTTGTTGAATCACAGACCAATTATTTGATACAAATACTGGTAAAAGAAAGACTGTTATTTGATCATTGAGCGCGGCTCAAACTTCTCTCCTAACCTAACCTAACCTCTCATAATTCAATGAAGTGAATTCATAAAGCCTATATTAGTCTATATTATCTTGCCAACACAGTTCATCACTTACGAAAATAGTGTTTATATGATTTATAACATTAGCATTACCACAAGTACATACACATAAATTGTATCGAGCTAACAAAGAAAAAAATAATGCTAAACAATTAAAAGATAGATATATCATTGGTTTTTGGTGATCAAAATACTAGCTATCACAAATAATCGTATGAACAAATTAAATAAGGTAACCACACAGTATAAAATGGTATTAAGGAAATACCAACTCTTAGTTAAATTATGCAGGAAATTTAAATGTAAAAAAATCTATATTATGATGCTCTCTGCAAACTAATTAAATTTTGTATTGCCTGCATATTGAATTGGAAACTAAAAATTATCAAATATTTTACCTATTACCCATTATTAACAAATAATTTTACTACCTATGAAGCGGTCTATTAAATTTTAAAAACATAATATATTTGGGTGGGAAGAGGAAAAGTAGAACATATTTTAGATAGCAAGATAAAAATGCACAGGTGTTATGACTGATGTCATTAAATTGAAGGTCAGTATTCATTTTAATATTATATAGGTGTATAATTACAAGAAAAAAAAATGTTTAAAATGTATCAAAAATTAATTCATTTAAACCCAAGAAAATATTCAAAATATCCCTTTTAATAGAATTCAATCTAAAATAATTTGATTAACAGTTATTATAATTATCTTTACGTTTATTTTAACTAAATCTATAGAATAGCCAGTAAAGTTTAAAATAGTTTAATGACTATAATGTATCTAATGTGTGACTGATAATTTATTTGAAAATACCCTTTATAGGGAATTGTAAACTGGAGAATTAGATTAATCAAATTAAAAACGATCGTAGTTTATTTACACCTATACAAATTTAAGGAAATTAAACCGGACACACATCAGCAGTGGTTGCTTAATTTTTATTCGTTTTAAGTAATTGCATTTTCTCACCTCGTATTAACATTGTGAAAATAAGAAACTTAATAGTATAAAAATCGTTTTTTATTTATTAATTTTATCTTAACTCAAATATAATTATGTCTATATCACAGAACACTATATTACAAAATCAAATACGCCATATAGTTATAATATATTTTCACTTGACGTTGTCGGTTAATATATATTATTCTTCCCGGACGACTTCTATTAAACAGGATATAAGGAATCAACTGAATAAGTACCTATTTTTAAATTTAATTTTCAGAGCATACACAAAACAATATTATAGAAATCCGTGAAATAACCAAAGGACTTTGGCGGTGTTAACGATTCTAGAAATGCATCAACATTCAAGTGCACAGAGCAAATCAAAACCTTTTAGCTTTAGCTATCTATCTTTAGCTTATAAAATAAAAATTTAAATATTCCAACTAAATTTATATCTGTTTGGTACTATGTTGGGTATTCTTGTATCAGTATAAAAATGCAAAACTCTGTATAGGTGAAAACCGCAACGTAATCTGTTCACAGACTCTGAAGTTAATTGCTAATTTTCACAATTACACAGAAATCAAATTGTGTGTAGGTACCTACTTAATATATAAGTAGTAATAATAATTAATATGATAATATATATATATTATACATATAAGTATATATATATATATGGCGTAAATGATTTTATACTATCTTAAATTAAATATGTTTAAAATATAATATAATAGGTAAAGTTATTTTAGAGATGTTTGTCCTCCATAAAAAAAAAAAAAACAACAAATAATCTGCAGATATTATACTGATATGTTAAATCCAATATCAATAATACTCCAGATATTTTGATGATGCCATTATAGCCATGTTTAGCATAATATTTACAATGTCATCATCACACATTAAATAATTTATAGCAATAATTGAACACTCATTTTGTTGTATACTCATTGTAAACCATAGCCGAACAAATCAATAACCACATCAAAACAAGAAATCCTCCTGACTAAAATATGAAAAAAATAAAAATAAAAAAAAATACGCATAAAATCGAATTGTATACATACCATTTTGGTCAGTACAAATTTTTTCGCACACATCAACACCAAAAAACCGATTGTACTTATCATTACCGCTATTGCACTGTCGTCAAGACTCTTCGAATGGATGTCTACCGATGCACTCGAGTCGACTTTATGGAACCACATAGCTTTAATAAACCATGGAACGCCCAGACAGATTAAGACGTCAAATGTCGATGAACTTAGAGCCGTACACAAAGCCATGGTGCCCTGTCCTGAAATAAAAACAAAATGTTTATTTCTATATTATTTAATTACCTATTTATTATTGTGTATTAACATTCATTCAGACCTTGTCTCGCGACCGCTATACTGGATACCATTTCGGGTACACTCATACCGATCGCCAATAGTGTAAGCCCCATAACCGAATCGGGAATTGAGAACTCGTTTCCTGAAAAATTGTATCAATATAGTAAAAATTTTTTGATTTGTTATTTCATTTGTTTGTGTATACATCTCAAATAATTTTTCAAGTAAAATAAAATTGAATAATATACATGAACGAACGTATTACAATACAGTCTATAGCTTGTGTGATGGCGTGAAAGAATCTTCGGGGTATTCCTTTCGACTTGCGAGTCGTAAAATTAATTTATATTTCTAATATAAACCACAAAAAAAACGAAATTTTGTTTTCTATATTACCGTAGTATTACTTTTGTATTACACACGGTTGTTCAATTATATTTTTAGAGATTCACTATGTATATATATAGTGGGTGCCTATTTACCAAAAAAATTATAATCAGGACTCGGATTTTAATGTATTTAAAACCGATTAAAAATATGTAGTATACGCTATATTTTGGTTTTATATGGTTACATAATAAAATGTACAGCCTTCATCATGAGTAACAAAGAAAAAAATTACAGAATCGTTTTCTAAAGCTTCTCCCTTTTTCAAATAATCGCAATTTCGGAATGTACTTACCACTTAAACTACTTTAAACATGCGAAACATGCATTATAAGTACATCTAGTTGCATATCGACTTTGCGGATATCGAAGTTGCATACTTTGATTAAATGATGACTGCAGGTATTCCAGCCAACTAACAATATTAACAGTAAAATATGTTAGCGAAATTGTCTAAATACACGTAGATTATGAGGAAACCCGGACAAATTTCTAAAATGCATAACGGCTACATATGATATAACAGAGAATCGCGTGAATTGAATTCATTACTTGCCTAAATTAATTTATTAAGTAACAGTACAAATAACATGTTAGCATTAAAATCCGAGTCTTAATAATATTGCAATATTTGTAACGGTTTTTTTTTTTCGACTTACCTATGATTGTTATTAATTCTACGATAACAAACGAGCCGCACCCGATCCAAAATATACACATAAACATAGTGATGGGAACCCAAAATACTCTGTCATAACTATTGGAGCTCGGGACAGTTATTTTTAATACTATAACTATAGGCCATACTATTATTTCTTTGATGAATAAAAGTTGATCGCGAATTCTGTCCTTCCATTTGGGCAACCCGATATGGTCATCTACGAAAAATCCGTTTGCTACATTTCCTGAAATTAATTACAACATCTTAATACTTATACAATATATTGGTTACGTTAACTATTGTGTTATCTTTATAAACGTTGAGTACTAAATATGTATCAAAAAAAAACCTGTACCATTTAGAGGAAGTATTGGATGATTTTCTGTAAACGATTCGAGAATGTTGTCATCTTTTTGTCGAGAAATATATTTAAATACTTTTTGAAGATACGAACTGTAAGAGAGAACTGTTGGAAATATTATTGGTAGTAGTGAAGACGATAAAAAATAATAGATTACTTACTTAATAAGTATAGCAAGTAAGCGATAATTAATAACAAAGCTTCGTAGGCGTAAACTTTGTTGTCGGACAACGACCACACTAATAGTGATATCGTCACGAGATACATCAAAACGTCCCGAGTGATGGGCCAATTTTCCAAGTGTATAGTCTGTATACAATAATATTACTTCGATTAACTAGGTACATTTAATATTCGATTCTTTTAAATATCCCATTATAAGTACCGAAAAATTCTAATTTATTTTCATTCAATAACATAAAATATTAGTATTGAAATATCCAAATTCAGAATGTATTTTTTAGATAGATATTTCAAGAGAAACTTGCCCATATAATTTAAGAGGATGTCATATCCGCGTGTAAAGTATTCGTACTGTAGATTTAAATTTCCCCTCTACCTTCCCAACTTCTCACCTACAACAATGGCCTACCCATCGTGCGAAGATGTCTGATTTTATTTTTTTCTAAGTTTGATGTTGATTGAATTAACTCTAATAATAAAACTCACAGCACACAATTGGCCAGTCTGAATGAAAACGTGTAATATCGTGATGCGTTCGTAAGACGAAGTCGGTATACAAAATACGTGGATAATAATTCCTCTTAAGGGGTTTTATATAGGCAATTTTCCTAGGGATAAAAATAAAATACGCAAGTATTTTGTGAATATTAAAAAAAATAGTTTGTTGTCATTATGTCATTACTATAAAACTTTAAATTATTAGATTTTATAAAAAATAATAACTTTTTTCGGTATTTGCGGTATCCAAAATATAAATTTAACGACGTACAGTGCAAGTTTTTATTTTTCATATGACCGTGATAATTTGCTTTCTTCTTGAGTACTTACTTTTTGAGCTTGATTAACCCACTTCCCCTCCCCCGAGTCATTTTTGCCCATGCAAAACAGTTTAAACAGTCGAATTACGGATAATATCTTTACAAATAATTGTTTAATGGGGAAAAAAAAAAAAAAAATGACAAGTCTTACCTTTTGATCAGCCATTAGTATACAAAGTCCAGGAACTAATAATATATTGAATAAACCTGTTCCGACAACGGTACCGATTCCGACATCGCCTTCCGTAAAGAATGTCGCGAGTATATTAACGAATAGTTCGGGACAGGCGACTGCGGCGGCCATGACAGATGCTCCTGCAACGTCCTGACTCAATTCCATTCCTTGAAGAAGAAAGAAAAAAAAACCATCGATATCAAATAGTATATTCTCATAATTAGGATTTAAATGCATTTGCATGTTTTTTTTTTTTTAACAGTTCAAAAAGTAGCTAAATAAACTACAAGTTTGAATTATAGTCAACAGATCCGAAAATTTTTTTATTTTTTTTTTTGTCATTTTTGATGTGTACTGCATATTTCAGTATTTTATGATTTTTCATTGCATATAGAATTCGTATATTATGGTCATTGTATTATACGAAATACATCATAATAATATGCACAATATTTTCACTAAATATCGATTATAAAAAAACACGATTCAAATAGATTAAAAAATATTAAACAAATGTTTAAATATAAAATTAATTATAATAAAATATAAGAACATTCGGAGTCCGTTGAAAATAAGTGAAATTCTTGTTATATTATAATAAGATGGTATTACGGAATCACGACCTCCTGTACGTATTTAGATATTAATATTTTAACGAAATGCATAAATAAAAAGTCGGATATAATTTGCACCATGGGGTGTAAGTCATTATTGTTGTAAGTTGTAGTTTAATGGAAGGTATAGGATATAAGGCGATTGTATTTAATCTGTATACTGAAATCAACGATATGTCAATGTAATCTAAAAACGATTCTGAACGTAGCTCGGTAAACCGGTAAGATAGTAGTAATCTTGTTTTTGTTCCCTTGTAGCCAAGGTAACCCGGAAATTAACAAAAATAAAAACGACGTATCATTATCACATTTCGATGTCAGCTTTTTAATCGTTTGGAAATCTAGAAAATGTTTTTAATAACATTTACACCGTGCGAAAAATTCGCATTTTAGTAACTAAGAGAGTTTTCTTACGAAAAAAAATACATTTTAGGTAAACTTTAATAGCTTCTTCACTACACAAAGAATCTAAAAAAAAACTATTAAATGTCATCAATAATGCGATCTTATTTGTTCTTCGTTAAAAAAAACAATAAAGATTTATATTTTATCTTTTTTTCATATTATGAAATGCACACATTATTATGTTTTATAGCAATAAAATGTGATATTATTCTATAATATTAACCAATTTATCGTAATAGAAATGTAGTGAAAACTTTTAATTATTGACGTAGATAGTATAAAATTTCATTTTACAGTGTTTTATTATTATAATTGTATTGCCTTTTATTTATATACAGGGCGATTATTTTATCATGAACCAGCAATGTTTTCAGAGGATTTTGAAGTGAATTTTATTTCTATTTTTTTTTTTAATCATTATGGAATCACATAATTTAACATTATTTTCAATTTGTACCTAAATTCTGTATAGCTGAAATGCGTATCCAATTTGGATTTTTAAATAGCAACCCGCCTTTTCAATCATAAATTTAAGTAGAGAAAATTATTTCTAAAAAAATGTTGATATTTATAACACTAATATCGGATTTACCATGAGTTTATAACTGTTTAAAATTTAGACCGGAGGCGTAGGGAAGAGTTATGAACTTAAAATTTAAAAATAGATAAGTATACAATTTATTATGATAAACAAAAAACTAGTGTTATGTGTATTAAACTTCTAGAAAAATATTCTATATTTGAATCTGTGATAGTTTGTGGCTATTTAAAAAACCATAGTGAATACTTATTTACCTACAAAGAGTAGGGGTACAAATTGAAAATAGTATTAAAATAAATCTTGCAACGATTATATAATGGTTTTGAAAAATAAAAATCTAATTCACTTAAAATCCACCGAGAAAATTGCGGGTCCGTGATCAAAGAATCACCCCATGTATATTCTTTTACCTAGAAGTATATATTGTATGATTTCTGTGCTTTCTTTAATATTGATAAACATGTTTTCGTTTTTGATTTATTAAATTAAAATAGTCAGTTTTTCTATTTTTTAACATTGTCTCGTTATGAAAAAAAGTTTTGATAACCGGTCATTTTTATCGGTTTTGTAAAAAATATTTAGTTTTCTAAGGCGATCGAAAAATCCCGTCAAATTATATCTAGGGACATTCAGATCCGTGAGGATTTTTTGATTCCCTTACAAAATTAAATTATTTTATAAAACGGATCAATATGTCTAAAAAGAAGAAAAAACTGATCGAAATGTTCCCATTGTGATTTGGTGGCGACAATGGGGACTTTTGGGTCCGTGTGTCAAAATGTCACCTTGCAGAAATTCGCGGTATTTGTCATTAAAAAATTTAAATAAATTTTAATGCGAATTATTATACGTTAGAGTGTTAAAAGATGTAAAAAGATATTCGCGCAGTACAATAAAAACGATTTAAAATGTACGTTCAGAACATACTATAAAATTGTGTTTACCGACACACCGCTGATTATAGCCTACATCAACCAACCTAATTTCGAATGGTATAAGAAGAATTAAAATATTTAAATACCTATACTTTGTTGGGTTGTAACACTATATTATAACGGTCTCTCGTCGTATGTATACAACATAAATCGCAAATATCAGCGTGTCTTATTGGCTTACTGTACCTGCAATTTATAGCATAGATCGCAAACGCTGTTTAAATAAAAATGAAAACTGGATTAATTCTCGTTAAGACTTTCGACTGTTAACGTTTCGAGAGGACGTGATATCCGCCGTCTCCGTCGAACAAATGCACGACACGTCAAATTTTCGTCCAAGAGGAACAATTACTCTAAGATATTATAATTTTAAAACAAAATACGAGTAGGTAATCGGAATATTCACAATTTGAAAATGCTCAAATATCGGGGGGGAAAAACCGACGTACCGCAGACACAGACACTGTGTTTACCTTTAAATTCGGGAATGGGTTCGTTCACTGTAATATCAAATCAACAGCATAAAATTGTCCCTGCTTAACGCAAACTCGCTACTTATATCGCGCCGTTTGTAAAACCGAGACGCGGCGCATGCGGGTATCACGTCCTCTCTCGAAACATATTTTATCATTAATCCGCGTATTATAAATAATAATTAATGATAACAATATTCCCCGCAACATGCACGTGATATTAAATTTACAGCCGATTATTATAATATATAATAATGAGATAATCTTGATAATTGTATAGATAAAATACATCATACATGCGTGGAAAAAAAATCAATAGTAAATATTGTTATTTTTATAGGCAGATGTAGTATATTATTTGTAGTAATAATTGTGGCTAAAATTTAAAAATAACTATATTATTATCGGGCGATTGTACAATGTGTTGTTTTATTGAAACGAAAAAATAAACAAAACGATTTTGAACTCCTTTGAAGATGAAAAAAAAAATGCTGTTATCAGTTATGCAATGTGTATCAATAGGAAACTCACACGAATAGCTACTGTACAATATTGTTATTATAATTTATAATATTATGTTTGTACCAATAAAACATTACATTTTAGGATCAATGTCTATAAATTAATTTATATAGGTTTTGTTTTTACATGCGTTATAATAACATTATAATATGTTCCAATAATATTAGAAAGTGCCTATATTATTATTACTATAATGAATAATTATAATAATTTTATCATTAGAAAAGGCTTATTAATCAAACACCGGGTTTTTAATTAATTTTTTTACTGTGAAGTATAAATAAACCGATTTTTGTTAGATAGGTAGCCGACTTACTGAATATTATTTTAAGGCTATGACGTCGGTAAACGCGGTGTACCTATTTCGCGTATTATTATCGTTTCACTGCGTCATAGTCGATGATCATTATGGTATAGGTATACAGAGTGATTTCTTTATCATCCTGTATAAAATCTAACAATAAGCATGACGTGGCGTTCAATTATAGATTTAAACCATCGGTGGTTATTATTAATTATTGTAAAATGTAAAACGGAAAACAAACGAAAAATGTTGCCGAGTCCATACTTTTATTGGGAAGAAACATCGTTGCGCAAACCGCAAGACGGCATTCGAGCGAACATCATAGAAAAAGGACGGGCGTCAAAGGTTTCGGCGCAAACGTGTTTAACGTGTTTGGCAACGCAAAAGCTGAAGGCGCTCCCAATTACCCGAGAGCACGTTTATGCGATAGGAAATCGCATATAAACATAAAACAACATTTGACTATTATTTAAACTTTGTTTAAACTTTTGTTGACGCACGACTTTGGAAACACGAATTATTCCGAACAAACATTTTTAATGACAATATTATTAGGACCCAGCTTAATATAAGTAAACGTAGGCGAGTATATAACGTAACTTTTTTAGATTCGGTGAAATGGATTTTATTATTTGTGTTTTTTTTTGTCTGAGCAACTTTTCTACCAGAAATCTTGCTTCGATATAATACAAGGAAATTTCGTCTAATTGGTACATTGGGTAGGTCAATTGTTGTTTTTCTAAATAGTTTTTATAACAATAGGGAAAAATCGGAAAAACACTAAAAATTAAAACTGATAAATTTACGACGTTGTAAGATTTCTTTGTTTAAAATTGGTACCGTTTCTGTTTTCTACCAGAAATATTGCTCAAATTAAATAGACCTTATAGACCTTATAGACCAATAGACCTCGTTTATTGCATTTTTAATCTAGTTGATTTGTTAGAGTCGTTTTTTGATTTTTTTTTTTTTTCTTAATTGAGCAAACCGAGAAAAAAGTAAAAATAACGGGACAATTTACGAAAATTACCTTTTTTACTTGTTTTACCTAATTGCCTGTTTTTATTATTTTCAATTTAAATGAAAAACTTAAATTTGCCTTTTCTAAACGTATTCAAATTTTAAAGCCATTTTCGAACTATTTATAGAAGTTTTAATTTTGCTAGTTTTTAAAGTAATTTTTATTTGGATGTTTTTATGGATTTGTGTATGTATTCAATTGTTGGACCGAACATAAGTGCTTGAAATTTGAACGAGAGGATCATTATAAGTTGTACCTAATTAGTGGTCGAAAAAAAAGTTAAATGTAATGTAGTATTCTTTTTTTATACGATTTTTAACATATTTAATGTTAACGAAAATCGTAAATTTTACGGTTACTCAAACACGTAAAACCGAACTTTGCTCCGAATCGTTTTTCGTTGCTTACAGATATAAATTAAATAACTATATGTATCCTACCTCCCCAACTACCTATCTAAAATAGTGGCGCACCTGTTCCCAGTATCAGCGCTTATTTTATATTTCACTATGTATATTCGCAGACATACTATGATGTTGTAGTTAATATAGGTACTTACTGTGAGAAATTATGTGTATACATGGAACCAAATAACGGTTACACACTACTCCCAAAAGCAGAAATAAGTATAACGAAACGAAGGAAGTGCCCAATATCGTAAACGTGCGTTGTTCGAAAATAAAAATTTCTTCGAAAATCGACGTTTTATTTTTCGTCTCGTTAACTGACAGTAAGGCACGGCCGACATTATGTTTATTATCTAAAAAAAATAACACACATAATATTGTTAATAAATACAGGTAAACAAATAAATATTGTCCAAATTATATTACAGCGCTGACCAACATACCGAGATCGTATGAAATTTGTGAAGATGACGTTTTTAAACAATAGAATATTATTGTAAATATGGTTAATACGATCGAATAGGCAGCTTTCACTTTCAGGCTTTCCTGATTGGCTGAATATTTCTTGAACTGCACCATATTTCATTCCATTTCTACAGCAATAAAACATTTTAAAACACACTGTTATTATCAAAAATATTATAGTTTTGGGCTAAACTAATTACCTATAGTTCTCTTGTTTTTATATTTTAATAGATATAAAGTTAAATGTGAACTAATAAAGAAGGGGGGGGGACGCAGGCGAACGGAGCAGCTCTGCTGTTTTTATTTCTTTTTACGTCTCCTTACTAACTATTACTATTGGAACCGAGGGACGGTAGTACGGTACGTCTCTTTTTTGAAAAAACGAAATTTTTAAAAAACAGTATGTATTAATCAACAACTAGGTAATCAATTCGAGTCAGAATTTAATGTTTATCGTTCAGCCATAAATTTAATTATTATCATTATTATACATTCTGTACTGTACGTTTGCCCTGTGTGATGAATAAAGTAAATACAAATAACTAAAATCTAAATATTGTCTTTTTTTTTTTTACAAAAATAAGTATCTAATAATTTTATAAAAATATATATTATACAATATATCTAATGTCTTCATATATGATTATGTTAATATATACTATTTATAAAAAAAAAAAACAAATTTATAATATTTACCGAGGAATATAATTATTGCTCTACTCAATGTCACATGCGATATGACACACAGAGTCAGACCTTGGGCTGAAGATATGCTAGGAGAGTTCTAAAAAGACCAGCTTCAGGAGAAATAGGCCTGACACAGATCAGATATTCATGTAACGATAGATATCCAAATAATGTTAGAATATAATACGAGAATGTATGTATTGTTAATTAATTTTAAAAAGGCATACGCCTGTATTCATAAAAAATCCATACTGAAGTATATACTCGGTAAGGATTTTTAGCAATTTGGCATGCCATATAAGCTGGACAATCTAATGAAAACTAGCATTATGCACTAAGAAATCAAAGTTAAAGTGAGAAACCATCTGATAAATAACACTCAGTAACAACTGAGCTGAGCCAAGGGCATACGCTTAACCCTGTCTTATTTAACTTAGCCTTAGAAAGAAATTAGTAAAGGAAGGGCAGTTAGAAAATTGAGGTGTAAAAATGGGTAACACTATAACTTGGTTTGTTAGCGTGGAAATTGAAAAGGTTTATACAATAAACAAAGAATCTATCTGAGCCAGCGAAGCGAATAGGGTTATAAATAAACTAGGGTAAAACAAAGAATATATAATGACCATTCAAAGGAGAAGACTAGAATCATCTACTTAATAGTCACCTACTTGGAATGCATAATCTGCTGCAGACGATGCGTACACGACATACAATATATATACCTATATAGTAGTTGGCAAGTAAGTGTTCAAAAGAGTACAGGAATTCAAAGATCTAGCCATTTAGGATTGTGAAATGCAAAGAAACAAATTCAAACTGAAAGTAGAGGAAAAATACAAGCCAGAATAGTTGAAGCTTTTTTTAAGTTACTCAGTTACACCAGATATCAAATTAAAAAAAAAAATAGCGGCCACTGTTTAAGGTGAGAAGTTGGGAAGGTAAGATACCTAAGGTTATTTCATTAATATCTGCAAGCAACTATAAACCATTGCTTGACGAAAGACGATTCCGAGTGCAGTTCGGTAATACATAATTTGAATTGTAATTTATTTTTCGATTTTCGTTTAAATTTGATTTCGAAACGCTTATTAAAAAAAGAAGTCGTCCGATCATTTTGTATATTACCATGTATTATTACCAAATTTCAAGTCTCTACGTGTATTTATAACCGAATCACAACAAAAAAAACTCCCAAAAATTAAAATTCCTTAAAGCTCAAAAGTGGTTTAAAAGTTTTGGCAATGATACCGTAAGAAAGTATATCAAAAAGGCTACAAAAAATGAGTCTTGTGCATTTTGATTAAATCATTTTTTCTGGTAGAAAACGTCGTCCATGTTTTTATAAAATAATAAAATCGTGAAATTATACATTTTCTTACGTTTTTTCCTCACTTAAATGATTTTATTTAAAAATGGCGTCAAAAATGACCTCTTTAAAGTACCATCTAGACAACTTGAGCTTTCAGAAAAGTTACTACACGTAAAAGTCGGAGCAAGTTTACTAGGGGGACAGTAGATTTTAAGAGGGCAGTTGGGTTGCCGTGAGCTTATAAATATGGATTGATGAAAAAATAAAAAAACACCAGCATTCAGCGACACGTATTAAGCACGTAATATAAGAATAGTTATGTACAGGGCCGGATTATAGGCTTGTGATTTAAAATTGGCCAAGATTTCAATAATAATGGTTTTGCATGTGGGGGTTAGCAGTCAGTTATCTCGGTGAAGGGGCGTTGAAACGAAAAAGGTTAAGAACCACTGTTCTAGAGTTTATTAATTCACCTGAAATTATTGATGTTTCAGCTTATTTTCAGCTTCATTAAATTTGTGATTTTTAATATTTTTTTAAAATTCTGAGAAAAGTACCTACAATTATGTAGCAGGCCGAAATCACATTCACCAATTAATTAATATTATTAAAGACAATTATTAATCGGCTGAACACTTTTTTTTCTTTACTTTAAAAAATTATTAAAAATCATGAATTTAATGAAAATAAAAAGTTGAAACGTTGACATTTCCAGAAGAATAAAATAGCTATCTTCAAATTTTTGAAAAATGATAAAATAAAAATGTATTTTCTTAAATTTTTTACAAAAGCATAAACATTAATTGAAATATAAATATTTGTAGCCTGTATCCCAGTGAATAATATGAAAAAAAATAACTGAATTCGATTATCTTTATTATCTCCGGAGATATTACAATGGGCTAATTATAATTTATCATTATTATTATTTAATTACAATAATTTATCAATTATAAATTAATTGATTTACTTATTAAATTAAATATATTATTGATGATTTATTAGGTTACGCTAGGGGAGATTGAGTTCTATAGCAAACATCCGAGGAAGACGAGAAGAAAATTGATTATTGACGCGTTAATTAAAAACAAACTTTTAACTAAATAGAAATGGCATTGAAAAATATGATAATGCAAATGCATTAAATTCAATTGTCTTTTGGAAATCCCGCTGACCATAGAATTTATTATTGAACATGAGGTCGGAATGTTAGGTCAAAGGTTCCAAATAAAATAGGTAAATATTGCAATAATAATTTATGTTACTTGTTTTTAATCAATTAGGTAACAAAAATACAAATAAATTCCTGAACGCTGATTTTTAACTGTTTTCGAATTATTTATTCGAAAGGCGAATAAACACATATCGCTACAGATTTGAGTTAGGTTATGTTACAGAGTTATGATAGGTCCATTACGAGAGGGTGAATCAGTTTTCATCCAGGCTGTTTCGTCATGCATCGTACGTTAAGGCTGAATAAATGTAATTTTTCACGGGTTCTAATATTTTCCAAGGAGGGACATCCCTCTTGTTCCCCTCCAATATAGACGCCAGTGAGTATATTGTTAATAGAATCAAATCCCTTTTCAAAATTGAACAGAAGTTGGTAACAAAAAAAGTGTTGGTGAAAGTTTTAAGTAAGATCGATCTATGCAAATTTACTTAATATTTTAAATAATGAAAACAAATAGGTATGTGTATATCGGTAATCGATGAAAAAAATACCAATACAAGACGCGATTTTTACTTGTTAATAATAATGTGTAGGTAAACCAGAAATTGTATTTATTTACCTAAACGTTTACCCACTTTAAAACTGGGCATGTAAAATTTAAAATTTGTTAGCACATTCAGTATTCATAACTGCGTGTGTAAGGATCAGTATTTTATTATTTATGACATTTCTCGTATTTTTAATTGGATGAATAAAATTTAAATTTAAATTTAAAAAACCTAAAACTGAGGTGCATTTAAAATAAAATTAAGTATTAACACAATATCCGCATGCTGGAAAGATACCTAATCATAACCTAATCTATATACTCTGTCTCTATTTATACTTATTATAATACCTATAATCTTTCAAATTCTTTTCAACCAAACTAAACATTATGAATTTTCACTTAAAAATAATTAAAACGAAAATTATTCCACATCAATAAATCCTCAGCATATTATCAAAAAATTGACTTTAAATCGAAACCTAACTATTTTCGATTTTATGATTTTATAAACCAAGCAAATACACGCGCTGTGATCTAAAATAGCGACCAAATCCTTAAACGTTTTATACCCATTTGTCATAATGTGAGTATCTATTTTTGTACATGAAAAATATTAGTTTGTTTTTTTTTTTAACACGTATGTTTTTATCTTTATTTATTTTTATGATCCAATATTTTTTTAGTTGACCGATTCCGTAGTTGCATAATTACGTAGTTAATCCAATTATCCAACAAGACTATAATTTCCAGTAATATTTCTCTAATATTATTATTACGATGGAATTATAATAATGTTATAGAACTTTATATTTGATTTAGTTAAATTTACCAATAAAATTATTTTCAAATCTATTAGCTAATGTTAATTATAATATTTTCTAACATGAATCATCATTTACAATATTTTTATTCCAAGCTAGAATTTTATGGACAGAAATAATATACATTTCTTTATTGATTTTAGTTTGTTTAATTAGATTATATCATTGTTTTCTACTTTAAGAGTACAGTATTATTAACTTGTTATTTTCAGTATTAGCTTCACTATTATATAATATATATAGAGTTTGTTTAGTAAAAAAAAAAATATTAAAATATATTTGTAAATTTAATATTTTACAGCTCTCCCCAGTGGCCTATCCAAATTTAGAACGGTTGCAAAATAGGTTGAGGTTCTAAAGACCCTCTTATTCTTCACCATTCCGCCCTTTTTAAAAACACATTAAATGCCGAGAAATAAGTAATAGTAACTGTTAGATGTTCGATATTTACCTACATAACACAAACTATTTTTAGAGAATTATTCTGCTATTAAAAAAGTTAATAAATCTATTACGGGGCGTTGCTATAATAGAAATAGAAAAAAGTTGCATTTTTAATTATTGTACTAAATATTGACTCGAGAGTAATATTATTGCCGGTTAATATTCTAATTATATGAAAATCGCTAAATATTTCATAATATTATTTTGAGATATTAAATTACAAGAAAAAAAAAAAAATAGAAAACTTACATGTCGTATGGTTCCACGGTCGTGTTTCAATATTGTCGAAAACAAAATTACAGATGTTCAGGTCAAAGCGCAGATCGTTACTGGTTTATAATTACCTGGCAGTTCGAGTATTATATTATGAATAAAATATATGAAAACAATGTGGAATAAAAAATATCATAACAAATTATTATATGCGTCATAAATATATTGATAACAATACGCGAACACAATGAATAACATAGGTACCTATGGCACCTACCTATGGCACATAAATTATTATGAATCGGTAAAATGTAAACTGTACAAAAAAACGAAGGTGAAATTATTTTAATTCATATCATATGATCAATACGCGATGGCGGTCAATGTAAAACAGTAAGTAACTATACTATATTGAGATCGTACCTAAATATAAGTACCTGTCTAAATAATATTATCGGTAATTTAAAGTTTATGTTAAAATCAAATGTAAAAAAAAAAAAATAATAATAAAAACAACTATAAGTAGGTATAGCCGATTCGACGCACTATATAATGTTACCTGTACGCGTTTTAATTAGTATAATTATAATATTAGTCCGTTTAGAAGAAGATAAGGTCTGTAACTGACTACTAGGAATAATATTATATTAACAAGCAGCGATGATCATTTTATGGAATTAACAATACCTAGATAAAAAAAAAAAAAAATGTATAGAAAAGTAACTGTAGGTATATGAATTTTATCGAGATAACACTACTATTAGAACACATTTTAATAAACAATATAAATAAATAATACAACATTTTTAGTAATTGTTGTTGTATTTTTAGGTGTGTCCAACACCGCGCTTTTATTGGGAAATATTTTCGGACCTTGAGAATAGTAGTAGCCGGTAACCTATACACACGTGATGAAGAGCACGAATGTCTTTATCGTAAAATTCAAAATTGTATTGGTAGTTCATCTACAAGTTATTATAATACTATAGTTATTATAAAGAATAGAATTGTTATATTATTGTGTTTCATTATTTTAAATGGATACATTATACACAATATGTTTTTCGAATTTCAGGGAGAAGTGCCCAGAGGACTGAACCCCTAAATCGTATCCTCGTTGCTCAATGGATATGTTAATATTAGTTCTTGAGGGCCTGTGGTTGTTCACTACAAATTGTAAACATTCACAACAAACAAATCTTAACAAACGGTTCAATTGATTTTGATTTTTGTATTAAGAGCCTGTTTTTTTTTTTTTCAAAACAAGATTTACAAGAAAAACTCATACGACCGTAATTGTGTACTAATACGGACAGACACAACGGGATTATAAAGTATTCTGAACTTGTGTTCGAAAATCTGATAGTTAAATAATAAAATAAAAACTTGTAATAACATATTTATTTTCGTCGATAAATTTAAAAATGATAACTATATCATATATGTGTGCTCGAGTTCCTATTTATTTATTTTTTGATGTTATCCGTCGCTTGTTGGTATATTGGGGCTCTGTCCTTCAGACGGAGGACAAGAAAATGAACGAGTTATTATTATTACAATAATTACACGAAACCGTAACATGAATATTATTTAAAATAATAATTGCATGCATAGTGTACCTATCGCAATGTCATTGATTTCTATACCTTAACAAGATTGTGGCGAGTTCATTCAGTAAAAATAATGTATACGTGAACATTCAAAGAAATTAATTAATACAGGAAATAAACATGATAACATTACCCGATAAAAATCAATTATAATGCTATACTTAAAAATCCATTTTGATGTAATTATACAACATTGACGTTAGTTTAGTGAAATCTCTTTAACACATTTCAACTGAAAAAAAATATTATTTTGTTTTAATTACACGTTCGATTTAAAGGAAAGTCTGACATTTTTAATTGAAAACGATATAATTATATTTAAGTAAATATATCGATGTCAAACACTATAACTATTAACAAATTATATTTGACCGATTTTCAACTATTTTCGAAACTATCTGGGCGACTTGAAAAAAAAACTCTCTCCTCTTTTTGTTTAGAAAATCTTATACTCAGTTTACGTTCGGTATTTTTGGATGAATTTGTATTATTACGCGTGTAAAATCGTTTAAACGATAATTTTGGGCAAACCCAATTTGTTTAATACATAATAATATGTTTGTTCGATAAATGACATTTATTTAAGATGAAAATGCCCAAATGATGAAAAAGTCTGTACCTATGCGGTAAGATTATAGTCGATGGAATAGCCCAAGTATTTTTGTTTTTTAAGAATGACGAGCTTAAAAAAATAGTAAGTATATAGATCAGCATACAATATTTTCCTCATTGTGTTCTAAATGAAATACAAAATAACGCATTAAGAATGCAATAATTTCCTTTCATATCAGACAAGTGTCGGCTATAGATTAGAAAAACGGATCAACAAAGTTTTCGTAAACTACTTAAACCCCCACGTTCGTCCTCTGAGAATATTGTATTTTGAAATGTTAAATACGAATATATGTGACTCACTGTTATTTCGAAATGTATTACATGATAATCCTGGATTGTGTACGAGATGAATAAAGTAAACGGATTGCTTTACAATCAGTTATTTCCACATTGCAGTGTTATAGTTAGTCTCAATCGCTATTTTATTTATTTAAAGAAAACAACAACAACAACAAAGACCAACAATTATTTCGGTGGCTATTCATAGTAAAAAAAGGGAAAAAGTCAAACCTACTTCGCATCATGGATAGGTCACCGTTATAAAGGTGTAACATTTTTAGAGTTATATGATACAGGGTAATTAACTTTAAACACTGAAAGCATATATAAATCATTGCAATTATTATAATCAAAAAACGATTATGATTTATGAACAAAGCTTGGTCAAGGTGTAAGATTACATAATAGTATTAAACATTCGTCGCGTTTTCGTTCCCTTGTATGTAGTTGTAATCAAGGTAATCCAGAAATCAACAAAAAAAAAAAAAACCCGATGTATCAACATTATTTTTTTGTTTTTTTTTTTTCTAATTTTTTTTTTAAATTTTTTAGAAAAACCGTCGGAATTTTAGAAAACATTTTCAAACAAATTACGACCGATCAAAACATCCGTTTATTTTAAGGTGCGACATGGACAAACCGAAATATTTTTACTGACCTTAAAATTGTTTCCGATAAAAAAAAACGTATCTAAGTAAAATTAACAGCTTTTTTACTACGCAGTATATTTGTAAAAAAAAAAATTCGCCTAATTTAACTAAAAAAACCTATACGGTATACACTTACTTACTAGACAGTAATGTTGCCTAACGTTTGCCTTATTCTACCACAACCACAGTTGCAACTTGTGTTTTAATAATAATTCGTAAACCAAATTATATTATTTATAAGTAATATAATACTATAATCGTTGATTAATTAATAATGAAAATATTTTTCCAATATATAAGATTTGCTTTTACTTCATTTCCATAGTATACTATTACAGTTAAATAATATTTAAAAACCATTAAAATATATTAAATACCTATATAGGTTGGTAAATAAATAATTGTAATAGAATAGAAAACACATTGCATTACATTTTAATATATTTTTAACTGATTTTGGCAAAGGGTTACTTAATATATATATACATAAGTAAGATAATATCGAAATTTGAAGGAATTATTTTCGTAACGAAGCACACTGTTAAATAACTAAAAAAGACGTTTACGGGGCTCACCTTACTCTCTCGTTACGTATAAAACTTCACTGTGCGGTTTCTGGTAATTTAAGATTTATGTACTTTGCGGAGGATTATTGTGAAAACAGATGCCTCACTGCTGTCAGTTCAAACAAAAAAACAAAAGGATTTAAGTACTTTAGTACCGACAATCAGCCCATTATGATTAATATGATAAGTTTAAATAGCTTACCGGATATTCTATATCTTTCACCAGCCAACATTCGCTTTTAGTTTTACAGCTTGGAACAATCCGTCCATTCATACTTTTAACTATAATCACCCAACTATAATATAAATTTAGTTTAAAAAAAAATAATAACAATTTATTTTATGGATTTATTTAGCAACGTTTCCGTAATAATACCATTTGTAATTGTCGGTATTAGATAACAAATCGATGTAGATTATTGTTGTCTTGTTAATTGGGGCCTTTTATTATTTATTTAAAAATTAAACTAAAAAAACATAAAAATTCTATATCTCAGTTGTAAGTATAGGTACTGTAAAATAATAATTGATAAATGCCACTATTTATGCTTATAATAAGTCTTTATAGTTCATTTAGGTCTAAAGCAATACATGGTCTTCTAAATTTGATATTAGGTATAGCTTTGAGAGTATACGACAACGGGATCTTTAAAAACAGTATCAAATAATTTTGTAGACACTGTATATTCGATATTTGATAATAATTGGTTGCAAGGCGTTTTTAGATCCGTATTATCTCACTCGGAATGTATGTATATAACTATAATAGAAGGTAACTATACAAAGCGAATAGACGAATAGGCTTATTAAATTTTTCTCATGTTCATACAAATGTATTTCAGTAAAATTGTAATACTAACTAATATTGTTGTCAACTAACTATTTAAAATTCAAAAACTCAAAAAATAATAGTTATTAGGTATACCTGCCAACGGGAAACCCGATGAAAAGAATTACAATATACTAGATAACGTTAACATTTTAATTTTACTGAATTGACTATACATTATACAATCCTCAGTCGAAAATCAGTAAAAAAAAAAAAAAAACTCATATTTTTATTTTAAACATGTTAAACGTATTTTTAATTGTAAACAAACGTGTACCTAACATTATTTTTCGTAAAAGTCGTGTTATGATAATAGTTAAGTATATAATTGTACCTACTGATTTATAATAATTATTTAAGAAAAAAAAAAATGTTACTTTTTCATCCAAAATTTATAAAAATAAAAACTATTTATTTTGGTTTTTATTTATTTTTTAAAATAATGGAATATAGGTTCCATGGTTCTATACAAGAATGAAGATGTTTAGCTTCACTGTTCAGAAAAAATTAGCTGTCTAATTTAATTTTGGAATACAATTATACAAATTTGATTATACAATCAACAGAAGTACAGCTTTACTGTCCACTGTGGCCAACCCAATGTACCGATAAAATTAATGGACAATAAAGAAAATATGTATAGGCATTTATAATCTCCGTGTCATGATTGCATTGTTTTAGACAAAACAAACTTCTATGGCTAATATTATTGCTTTATGGACGTACATTGTACTACCATATGTTATTATTTAATAACATATAATATAATTACTACAGTAATTACTTTTATGTACACACGAACATTTATTAATATCAATTCTCAAAATCAGACGCATTCGTATATGAAACATTTCACTATAAAAATTACCACTGTACTACGTAGTATTTTTATTAAATCCGTCAAAGCGCGACTATTGGTTTACAAATTACATGTAAGTACTTACGTTTTTGTACGATACCTAAATATTCGACGAATAATGATTTGTATTTTGCATTTGTCGTTTCAACAATATTTTATTAAATATCAAATTAGTTCTTTGCTAAATAAAAAAATATCCAGCTACTTTGTACAACGTGAGATGGTAGGGTTAATTCACATTTCCGCGAAATTCAAATCACGTTTTGTGAGCGTATTTATAAAGTTAATTTATCCATTGGCAAAGCGCATATAATAAGTCATAACCCATAATATCTGTCCCCGCCAGAATGACAGCACAAAATAAGCAAGCAAACCAAACAATAGTTCAATAGGTAGGTACCGTACACGATTTTTGTTTCTCAAATTAAAGTAAACGTGACTTACACAATTACACCACTATGGTTTTAATGCCCGCAATTGCATAGGCAGGTAGGATTTTTATCATAAATTGAAAATAAATACGACAATATTTTTCACTACTTATACTATTGAAGGAGCGTACGTTTACTGTCGTAGTTATTTTTTTTTCCAAAAATAATATAATCGAATAACTATAATATATTTTCAAAAGTCGAATTGAGGATACGATTAGGGTTCACGTACGAAAGGGTTAAATAAAATATTTACGAACACACAAGTAGAACTAATATTATACTGCGGTCTGCGAAAGACTTTATAGTGAAATTATTAATAACATGTCTACGTCATACGTTCAATCTATGTGAAATAAGGAGCAGAAAATTTTAATTTAAACCTACCTACCTATTTATCGATTTTCAATTTTAAATTTTAACAGTCCTCTGTAATAGCTCCCTCTTTTAAATCAAATCTGATTTGTATTTATATTTGTTGAATAATTATATAAGGTCACGGAACTTTGAACTCATGATACTCGTTTAGTCTTCCATAGAATAATCCTTACTATAAAAAATGTAATATTTATTAAAAAAAAAACTAATCTGTTGTATACATGAAATAACCATTTTTCCAAAGGCATTGTAATAAATTGTATAACACGTTTAATAGGTATAATCAATCAATATTTTATTATTATACTTGACTATTGTGTTGATAGTAATTCATTGTCAATACAATAATTTTATAATATACACTACGACATATTTAGAATAATTATATCAATAAAGGATATCATATTGAATTTGAACATTGTGCAAGGCATTTTTCAAAGAGGTTTTCCGTGCCTACATAAACACGCTGTGAAGTCCATTGGACACTCAGTAGAGTTAGATTTTTCTTAAAAACAAATCATCGAACTGGTCATTTTTTAAATAAATATTATATTTTGTATAGAAAATAGCCACACTGGGGGGGGGGGAAATCCAAAATTTAAGGAGGCGGTTTAATTTTTAGAGCTTTTTTTAAACGAGGCCGACGATGATATATATAATGTGTAATTGATAAAAAAAAATACATCAATGTTTAATTTTGTAAGCAATTTGCAATTCAATTTACCCTATAATAAATCATAGAAAATATGATTTTCATCTATTTTATCAAATAACTGTATTATTAATAATATATTTGTTTAGGTAATAAATTAACTTCCGTTATATTATTATAGTGCAGGTTCCGACGAGTCTCGTTTTGAACAAGAAAACGTGTTCCGATTTGTTTGATATAATATTAACTATATTTGTACTAACACATTTTTGATTTTTTTTTTTTAATTTAATGTAAAAAAAACCCCAAAAAGGAATTTATTAAATAATATATTTTTGTAAAGAAAAAAATGAAAGGAAGATATATTTCCTTAATAGCCCCCCCCACCCCCGCTAAATAAGTCACTAAATATACACACCTAACACATTATATTATAATATTATCTGTAATAATAATTATTCGCGATTGTTTACTTTTTCAGGAATGTTTTATCGCGGGATGACAGCGAAAATTGAACACTAAAAAATATAAATATAAAATATGACTTATATTTCACTATTTAACAACATTGTAAAATCGTTCAAGGTGCACGTTGATAAGCCCGTGATCGACGATTTTATATTCCGATGTCACTACAAATTAACGACTAACATTTTATTTATGTTTTGTATATTAATAACGTCGATCAACTTAATAGGTTAGTTTTATCAATAATTCTATAAAATTAATAATTAGGTATCCAAATGTCCCATTCAACTACATTTTAGGAGGCGGGCGGAGAATGTCTTAGCAGTTTATACTTCCCCCGAGCAAACAAAATAAGATCGTTTTAATGTCGTATCATACATGCGATGAGTATAATAACTAACATAACCAGAGATTGAATTTTGAATTTTGCATTTTTCACCTTGATATTTTCTTAGTTATAAAAACTCAGTATTATAATATCATACGCTACAATAGTTAAAAATAATAGATACAATTTATTTTGCATTTTTCGACGTTTTCCACTAAAAAAAAACGTTTTTCCGTGTTCAAATATTTGTTTATATTACCTATGAGTAATGTGTCTTAAATGTTAGATTTCAAAGAATGCTTTTAATAATATCTTGATTATTATTAGTACCCGAACAGGTTTTGTTTTTGATCAGGCACGTACGCAAGGGGTGTTTTGGGTGTTTAAACATCCCCCGAAGTATTTAGTTTAACCTAACCTGATCTTTCATATGTTAAATTATAAAAAAAAGATCTAATTTTCAACAACAAATTTTAAAAAATACCCTCCCAAAAAAAAAAAATTTTTTTCCGCGTGTTTTATCATTGAACTTAATTTGAATAAATAATATGTATAATACATACAATTTATTTTTCAATACATATTTATTTACGAGTTAATAACCATTTTAATATTTTTTTTTTTTACTTTATTATTTTATTAAATTTTAAATTATCATTAATATCTTTGAACGCGGGTATACAATCCGTGTGTTCCTAAATTCAACTGTGATATGAAGCGGTGTTATCGCGATAATCGTTAGTTTTTAAAACAGATATCTTTGATCACACAGGCGGTAAGATAGATTTGTTATTATTTTTTTATGCCGATTATCACAGGTGATTATTTTCATAAAATAAGTCCCGATAACATTACTTATTTATTAACAACTGTGACAGTTCCACCCACGAACTAATTGGTGGTTCCACCATAAATACCGAAAATGATGTTCCTTTATTTTTTTACGGTATCATCAGTAATGGTGTCACAAAATAATTAAAAAAATAATATTTATCTTAGTATTAATACGTATTTGAAGTATTTATTACAATATAAACCATATTTTATTATAAAAATTTCTAAAGTATTCCGAGGGGTTATATTTTACCCGAAAATATTTAATCGGACAGTATTTGAGCCGACAGATAAATAATCCGAACCAGATTCTATACGAACCGTATTTCAAGCCGTATGACACATATTTCACCCAAACTGTGCCTAAGCCGATACATATTTCGCCCAAACCGTATTTGGGCCGACAGTAGTTTATCTGAACCGTATTTAGGGCCGATAATTTCAGCTCAAATACAGTTCGGATTAAATACTGTCGGTTTAAATACGGTTCGGATAGAATACGTGTCGGCTATAATACGATTCGGACGAAATATATGTCTGCTAAAATACGATCGGGCAAAATATGTTTCAGCTGAAATATTTTCGACTTTTTTACGCGCTCCCAAGTATACTAGATTGTAAACATGAACCCTCATTGACACTCATTATTTCGGAAAGCGTTCACTTTTTTCGGAATTTGATTTAGAATATTTAAGAAACACTTAACTCAAAAACGTTACATTACCGTCATTTTTTGTCGCTCTTATTTGTAAAGGCGACTACCCGCTTTCAAATAAAACCTGAGAATGTAAAAAAAATACATAAATAGTTGAAGTTTAAATATAGTTATTATTTTCATGTTCGAATTTTATCTATTTATGGACATTATTTTTTTTTAAAGATTGCTATTTGAAAATCGAAAGAGAACATTGGTTTCACCCTGCAAAAATACGGGTGACGAAAAAAAAATAAACGGAAATATAACATATAATTAAAAAATTCTACAGAACGAATTCCGATGAAAGTTAATACTTTTCGAGATAATGAGTTTCCTACGTCGTGTTGATCACTCTGTATAATAGGTACACTAATTTTACGATTGATATAATACGATTAATACCTATGTTGTGCCAGAGTAAGGAAGTACTTGACAGTAATGTATTAATTATTTATCTGAGTTTATGAAATTACATAACAGTGTGATAAAATATAATAAATAATAATTATAATTTTATGCGCATACGTAAAATAGTATATAAATTATGTTCGAATAAATTTACGGCATACACTATGTAATATAATATGGCTGTATACAATTATTATTTATTAATCCATTCATCGTAAAGTTAACCATATTTTATTCACACCATAATATATTGTGGGTTTTGTAAGATGACGGTTTGTTAAAGGTTTTTTAAATTTTGTATACATTATTTACGATGTGCAATGCAATTTAACGCGGTATGGTTACTTAATTAAACAATCGCGATATTTCATTCACCTTGTGAAAAGAACTATAATAACGTTATTATAATATTATGAATCATACTTTTGTCGAGTACAATTAATATTAGAAGATTGTTAAATTCGTGTCAAAATGTGTACAATTCTTCTTCATTTTGGCTAATAAGACCATCGCCGTCACACATACGGTTCTCCAACCTTTACTATCAATCGCTCGTGTTTTCCAATCCGATCTTTCATTCAGTGCCTGCCTCCGCGTCATTTTTAATTACATCCTCTCATCTCAAACGGGGTTTCCCCAGTCGTCTACCAATTCGATTCTCATCCATAATCATAAGTATAAATTCTTTGATTTTGGCTTCGTCACGCACGTCCCGTCCGCTCTAATCTTCGGCTTTTGATTACCTTTAACGCGTTATTTTTCCGAAAAAGCCATTCCAATTCATTATTCATTCTCTCTCTCCCTCTCCACTCACTCGTTTCTTCGCCCTTCACGGGTCCAACAATTTGAATCACTGAATATTTATTTTAGATTATTATGTGATTCGCTTGTGATCAAAACAAATATCACGGTGAATAAAATACATAAAAGTGGAAAAAAAAAAACAAAACAAACAAAGTGTTTATACAGGTTCGAAGTTTATTCGATTACGATAGCGAGTTTAACGAACCGCAACATAATAAAGGATTTCGTTAAAAAAAAAAAAAAGAAGAAGAAGGTCTTCAAGAAACATCCATTAATTTCAACGGAAATTTTCAAAATACACAATATTAATTTTCTATCGTCTTCTAAAAACTGTTTTCGGTCGATTTCATTTTTCAAATTAAATTAATGCACGATCATTCTCTATACGTACAATAAGTACTATTGTTTTTTAACATTAAATATCATTTTGGTCACGTGACATATTTGTACGAATTTTAAATACATAAAAAGTTTGACCACATCAGTAATCTGATGTCAGTATATACTTATATAATATACAAACTATAAAAGAGAGATTACACGGAATTTTAGTTTATACTTTTATTCGTTTCCTAAAAAGTCGTTTGATTTATCGTTTCTTTGTCTAGGTAATTTTATTTTCACCGGGTAAACATTATTATTGTAACTTGCGTAAAATATTATTTTAATGGACGGCTTTGTAATAAACAAAATAATACATAAATCTAGACTTTACGTTTTCAATTTATTATAAAAAAAAAATTTTTTTTTTCTTACAAAAATATCAATATTTATTAACGATACTATCTAACGAATAAACAGTGCTTGTAAAATGTTAAGATATATACACCAACAAGTAGATTTGTTCTCTTGTATATACGACGACGTAATGAAATGTTTATTTTATTTCTTCATAAAGGAAAACCAATAGAATGTATCACCAATTTGTCGAAAAATGACGAAGTGCAAAAGGTCATAAATACTTATTGTTTGATATCAAGTTTGTATACGTACGAGAACAAACTAGATTTTCGTCAAACCAACGAACGAAATATTCGATTCCATTCTTACTATCAATGGGTACCGTTTATGTTTTTCCTCCAAGCTGTTACGTTTTATGTGCCGCATTGGATATGGAAAATGTGGGAAGGAGGAAAAATACGCATGCTCACCGAAGATATGCGCGGATTTTATGTGGATACCGTCAAGGACAGGCTTGCGAAACAAAGTCGATTGGTTAGTATTTATATTTCAGACAAGACATTATATTTTATTGTACCGTTCAAATGGTATATAAAATCGATTTTCGATTTTATACAATTTTTTTTCAAATAGTACTTTTACTAAAACCTATTTACTGAATTTTAGTGAATTGAAAAAAGTACATTAGGAGGTACCTACACTTAAAATATCCGAGGAATTATTTTATGCGACATAAAATACTCTACATATTTGATCCCAGGGAAGAAGGCCTCCATCAATTGAAAAAAAAAAAAAAAATGTTTTTAAATAATTTTGTTCCCTTAATTTTTTTTACCTAAATGATATGATTGTATTCTAACGTATTTAAACTAAAAACGAATACGTCTTATTCACTATAATGTAGATACATTTTGTTGGACAAAAGAGGCTTAAGTCATAAAATTATATAACTTAAGTAATTTATAAAAGGGTCATTTATGTTAGGTCATTGGGACAATTTAACTGTTATTCCATTATGCTACTTAGCAATTATCAACGTTTAATTTGCTTGTATTGAAAATTTTATACAAAATCGATTTAAATCAATTGCATCTTATTTCTTCCCTGTGGGCCCAAAGGTATTATTCCATATTTGTTAGCATTTTGAATTCTATTTATTCGCGTTAAAAATAATATTACTTTTATCAATAATCATAATATCGCATAATTTTTTTTCGGCGATGGTCCAATCAAGACCTTTATAGAAATCGTCTACATAGATTATTGTTATCACGACGGTATTTTTTTATTTTATTTTTACGGAATTAATTCCATTTAAAATATAATTTTATTACAAACCAACATAATATGTTGACATTATTATAACTTGTTATTATAATTATTAGATACAATATAAGAAGAATTTATAAAATGTTAAAAACAACACACTAATAGCTGTTCTAATATCGCTGTGTTACAAAAACACAAACAGGTTGGCATTGAAAAATAGATAGAAAACAGAAAGGTTCTAACTGAATAATACAATAATCATAGGTAAAGTTGAATAAAATGTAAAACATATTAAAAACGTTATATAACTACAGATGCTATAAATACTGTCTTAATATCACCCACTGGTGATGTGGGCCATGTTAAAAAAAAACTCGCACGAATCGCACGTATACCAAATCATTCAATAACAACGGATTAAGTTTTTATTTGATTCGCTCGTTGTTATTTATGATATCGTTAGTTCCATCGTAAAACACTATAACATAATTGCTTCTTATGAATAATAATAATAATTATACACAATAATATTTTCGCTATAGACGACATAGAAAATTGTCATATCCTGTAGATGGTGTATCGTACGAATATTCAATTCATAATAATCAATACTATTTTTATCGAATGCAATTTATCGACCCCGTTTATCGTTAAAATATAGACTGAGCGATTCATTAAGCATGCCCGCCCCATTGTTAGGAGTACATTTTGTATATATGAACAATGAACATTCTGATTTTGGTAATTTTGAAGTATATTTAAAGACGATATTGTCTTATACTGTATTCAGTTGGCGATACCAACTTTGATTTTTCAAACGAGAACCTATATTAAAAATTCCATAAATAGAAGGAATATTAGATAAAATAAATTTTAACACTATTCGAACACCGGGCACCGTGCGGCTACACAAAATATGCTCCACTACTTCCCCCCCCTTAAACTTAAAGCGGAATGTCTCGTAAACGAGTGGACCGAAATCAAACATTTCAACAGCAAAATGTATTGTATTTTATATTCCAGCTATGGATGGAATTGTTAATACAAGTTCTCATTTGAAAAATCAAAGTTATTATCGCCAACCGGATTATACTCCTTAAATGTTATAAAAAATCTATGTATAAGAAAATATCGTCGTTAATTATATTTAAACATTCCCAAAATCAGAATTTTAATATCTACATAATTTACCCCTAAAAATAGAATATACTTAATGAATCACCCTGTATATATCATAATACGCCTACAAAAAAAAAAATACGTATGTTTTTGAGCCGTTTTCAAAATCCGTCACGAATCTGACATGCACCTATAATTTTCATAGAAAGTCTCGAGACGATTATTTTTCACTCTTAGTACGAATAGTGACATCAACCTCGCGGAACGTTGCGACGAGTGTTAAATACTCGAATTTAATTGATCAGCACGTGCGAGTATTTCAAAGAATAATGTTGTCTAATGTTTTTTTTTTTTTTTTTTTTACGTATTATGTGTTGCGGTTTAAAACAATTAGGTCATACCTATCATCTATGTAAAACAATTCAAATAATCATTTTTAACATTATTAGCATAAACTGTGTAAGACGGTAATATAATGAATCAGACGACGAGCGCCTAGTATAACACAAAAGTTGCAAACACTATAAGATTCTGAACGTGTAGCGAGAAATATATTGGTTTTACTTTATGACGTGTTCTTTATTTTTTCTTTGCCTGAGAACAACCCTTGACAACCAAATGTCTAACTCCGATCGAAAATTTACAAATGAGCTATTCTCATAGCATTTTCCATCTAGTTGGTGCATCGAGGAGGATATTCGTTAAATTGTTCAAGCGGTTTTCATAATAATCGCGAAAACCGGAATGAAACTCAAGTATAGGAAAAACTGAAAAATGTACGCTAGCAAAAGTTTCATTGTTTTCGATTTATTCGATACCACCCCGGTACGCGTTCCGAATCTAAAAGGTCTTGAGACTAACGGGACAAAAACTGCATAGTTCAGTACGGGCCAATGGCATGGGCGGACCAAGCGTTTTTCGTTGAAATATTTTCAATAAAATACATACTGCGGCAACGTGATTGCAGGTGTAACCCGTATACGGGCACAACATAACAATCACCGGGAAATCATGTAAAAATTGTTGTTTTTTGAATTTTTTTTTTCTTTTTAAAAATTTCACGCGTTAAAATATTCGCTTGATACCAGCAGTGCCAGCGTCCAACCGAACACATATTTCTTTCGGGGTAAACAAATATTTCGAGTGACAAAAATAAATTAATTCCGAGATAATATCTCTCCAACGGCTATGGAGAACGATCGTTTTTCGGAATTGTCGTTTATATCGGCGTATCAATTGACCACCGATCAATCAAATGCCGAAACGTCCGTATAACTCGTTATATTTTGAATTACAATCGATAATCGATAGTCGACAGGAATTAATTGGCTAATCAATTAACACAACGTTCGGGCGTAACGCGCGACAATGCAAGCGGCAATACCGTCGGCATCGGCACAGTACGCAAAAACGCATTTTGTTAATTCCGTATTTTCGTTTCGTCTGAACAACTCTCGGAAATCGTCCCCCGCCCCTGCCCCCCTCCGGGGCGTTTTGTGCCCGTTCGCGGCTGACCCCGTTCGGTTATTGCATTGCATGTTACATAATATCGGGTGTTTTTATTTATTTTTTTTTTTTTATTCCAACTACAGGCGCAGTATTTCGTCGAGAGCATCCACACGCACAGTACGTACGCGTACGGTTACGTCGCGTGCGAGGTGTACAACGCGGTCAACGTGATCGCCAACATTTACGTTACCAACAAGTTCCTGGGCGCGTCATTCATGACGTACGGAACGGACGTGTTGGAACACTACCGCAACCGCGACGACCGCCCGGTCAACCCCATGGACGCCGTATTCCCGCGGCTGACGAAATGCGATTTTTTCAAGTACGGGCCGTCCGGCACCGTCCAGAACGTCGACGCCATGTGCGTGCTCGGCCAAAACGTCTTGAACGATAAGCTTTATCTGTTCTTGTGGGTATGGTTTTTCGGGCTCGCGGCCGTATCCGCGGTGGGGTTGCTCTACAGGTTCGCCGTTATCGTACAGACCGCCGCGAACACGACCGCGGCGCCGTTCGGCCGCCCGTTCGAGTTCGCAAACAGCAATAAAAAATGTACGTCGGCGCTTTTGATGGCCAAGTTTCGAGTACGTACATAATGCAATACAATTACCGATCTATTTGTTTTCGATAATATTAAATGTACGAAATAATCTCGAAATATTTACCTAGGACATAATTAGCTAGTTAGTATACGTATTATACGGGCTGAGATAACTCGGGGTTTTTTTTTTTTCCTCGTTGTTATTGCGTCTATTATGCATATTCGTACAGTAGCAAATTAAACATTGTAGCGTTATAGGTAATAAAAAAAAAAAAAAACACTTCAAAAATGGTTGTAACACATTAGATAGGTACTCACAGTGTTCGGATAATATTTTAGGCGAGCACGTAGATTGGGGGAGAGGGGGGAGATAACGGTTCAATCCTAACCCTCCCGAAATTTAAAAAACGCATCATTATATACTAGATATCTATGTAATTCAAAATGTTTACTTTTTTTACTTAATGCACCTTCCCGCCTACCCGAAACGGTTTTCTGGACGCGAAATGGAGAAAAGCTCGACGATTTGGCTTTTTATGGTTCCGTCTAAATTGATACATTTAATGTACGGGAAGGGCGATCACGAGTGAGGTCTTTATGTTGCGGATTGCCTATTATTGTCGGCGATAGTCGAATAGGAAATCGATTTTTGTTGCGCACACCATACGCACATCGACATCATCAAAACGTTCAGTTAAACTTGTTTTTAATTTTTACCGAAAATAATGACCGTTTGTTGAGATCTAGAGTGAAACCGCGTAATCCGTTCAAATGTCACCGTTTTATTTTTCCGCAATCGTGGTTGCAGTATAGTGGGTGTATTATAGTTTTGTACAAGTAATTTTTTAAAATAATATATTCGATTATTTATTGTTTATCAGAGAATATTTCTACAAAATACAAAATAGGAAAATTCGAACAGTTTTTTTTTTTTTTTTATTAGTATAATAAATATCTAATCAATTATAATATTGGATAAAAGACTGAAAAATGATTTCCCATTAAGTGGACGTGATACCCGCATGCACATCTTACGAGCGACATAAAATTAGCAAATTTTGATATTTCGCGTAATCATATCTATCTCGAAAATTGAAATAAAGAAAAACAATCAGCGCCAACGTTGCACAGATAATGTGCTTGTCGTTCGTTAATAGGTCAAGTCACTCTTCAAATATCGGAAATCAACAGCACAATATCATTGTCCTCCCTGCTGAACGTGAATTTCCTACGTTGTACGACCATCGTCGGATGGAGACGAAACATGCGAGTACCGAGTTTTATTGGCTTTATATGAAAAAAGGACGAGCGGCGGGCGCAGATTTTATAAACCAACTCCGTCAAGTAAACAAAATCGAACAAACACAATTGTTTACAATAAACAAACAAAATTTTACCAGTGTCGTTATTAGTATACCGACAGTCCACCCGCGCCCGACGTTTCCCGTGCCAATTTGTATTATTATTGTTTTACCCGAATTAATTGTTTGTTTTGGCCGCGTGAAAACAAATTGGTGGAAAGTGGGAGGGGGGGTAGTCCGCTAAATGTGTTCAATTGTGAAATTTGAATAGTGTGAATAATAGTACTGATGATTATTATAATGGTTTTCTTTTCCGCGGCAACCCTCGAATAAACAAAAACATTAAATAAAACAAAGTCCGGTTAGTCACGCCATTTTTAACTCAAGAACCGCTGGACCGATTTTTATGATCACATGATATTTTCCGACCGATTTCTAATAATAATAATTAATCTCCATTTTTTTTTCCATCCCTGTTACCGGGGTAACACAAATCAACAAAATAAAATTGTATTTATTATATTTTAAGCTAAATTATTTGGTGTCGCTCGTGTACGTATATACACGTGCGAAAACACTAAAACCGCGATTAAAAAATAGCGGGTGGGTATAGGAGGGCGGAAAACACTTTACGACCCACCGAAAATACACGAGAGAAATTGCATTATTAAAACCGGCCATGCCACCGTTTCGGAGGGGCGCGACCGCAAAACACTTTTCAATTTTATGTACAAGATTAACACTGGAGTGTCGAAAACTACGCGCTACTCCGCTACTATAGGTGCCAAAAAACTCGGAACTGTCCGACCGTCCGTTTGCTAGTACGCGAATATGCGGCTGTTGACATGCAGAGATATATTAGTCATACGGTTCTATTGAATATATTATGGATTCATGCCAGTCAACAGGCCCTAATTTACCCGTGCGATAATATTAAAAAAATTATGATGTATAAAATAATATACATCATATGTTTAATGCGTGACAAATGATAACTGAACTGGCGTGCGTTCTCCTGCAATAACACTAAAGAAACTCGATTCTTCCATCATTACTGGCAATCGTGATTAATTATTACAAAAAAAATTAACGTTTAAAGACATTAATGTAATAATAATGTGTCGGTTTTTAATGGTTGCTGACTGTTGCTTGTTTTTAATTTTTACACATTTTTTTTTTTTCTATCATTATTATTTTAAAAAGAGCCCCCCCCACGCAATAAACAGTGCGCGGAGCCTTTATTTCTTTAGATCGGGTCGTGCCAGCCAATATTGAAAAATATGCGCCAACGTATTATTATTACAAATGCCTACTTTGAGAATTTAAATAATATCCCGTCAACCCCGTTCCTACAGACGACATTACGCGATATCGGATTTATTTAGATTTTTACACGCGAGCGTGTTGTGTTTTGTGTATGGCACAGAACTGTACTAAAGCGGCGGCCTTTTTGCACGTGAGAGTTTTGACCGCGCGATTGAATGGCGGCGAGGGCTCTCCGAAAACGGCCTCTGGACAACGGATCTTGCGGGATTCAAACGCGTTCAAAACTCGAAAGGCTTATGGTGGTGGTGGTGGGGGGGGGTGAACCTCTTGCGCGTGGTGAACCGTTTCATTGTTCTTGTGACGACGCGGCGTTCGGTCGCCGCGGATCGCGATCATCGTAATGATTAATTATATTTTAATAATTACTCGCGTCGTTAACGGAATATTATTTCCGAATACCAAAGCTAAAACTAAAAAAAGCTCATCATTTTCAACGATAGTAATGATTTATTTAAAAAATCAAAATTAAATATATTCCAAGATTAAAAATATCACGATTACGTTGTACGATTATCATTATATTGTCGTACGATTATACGACACCACGCGACTACCACGCAGCCGCTGAAACGCTACAAACGCCTCCGAAAAAACTGTTGGTACGTTCCGCGCGCCACGCGTTCGCTGAAAATTGACAGTCGCGCTTTAGACGGACGTTTTTGAACGAATGGCGAACGGAAAGAAGGAAAGCGCGCGCGCGCGGATAGAATTCCCGCAGCAACTTTACTACCAGTTTCCGCGCGCGGTCGAGTCCTCCTCGCTCAGGTCTGCACGTTGCCGGAGCGGAGGAGGAGAGATTCCGCGTGTAAATGCTGCTCTTCGCGGTTCATTGTTCGAAACGCGCGCAGGAATACGCGGGAAATTCGCGCGCTCGCGGAGCGGCCACTCCCGAGTTGTTCGCGTTACTTATCCGACGACCGTCGACGCACAATTTCAAGACGATAACGTAGGCGTGCTCGTAGAAAACACGGTCGGCCGTCATGCGCAAATGACGCGTCGCTTATCTTCTACTTCCACTTCGAGTTGTCCCCCTTCGCCCGCGACCGGGTAATAAACCCGCAACCGTAACCGTACACGGGTATCGCCCGGTCGCCGACACAACGCGTCGTTTTCCCGGAGTCGTATTTTTATAACACGGGTAGGCACCGCGGTTATCCGCCGGTTAGATAACCGGTGTAATGTGTACAATTAATCACGCGACGTCCTAGAAATCCGCACGGAGCGTATCGCGGAGATACCGAGAACAATAACAATTGACGGCGGGCCGTCGACAGGCCGCGTTGCGCATTCCCACTCGGTTTCGAAATATTTACCTAGCGGCCGTACACGGGTGCCGGTGTCCTCTAGAGAATAATATTCGGATAGTCGGACTGCCCGCGAACCGTTCGGAACACGCGTTTTATAGCCGAAAATAGCGCGTCTTGCGAACGTTCGGCTGAACAATAATTTATCTACAACACGTGTTTGAATTATTATCTTGTGTAATAAAAATTTAACTAGATAAAAATATGCTATTTTTTTTTTTTCTAAATGAATACCAAACCACTCGTGTTGAGTGGTTAGTTGTGTGTTAAATTGTCCTTAACCGACTACAATAACTAAACAGTCGGGTAAAGTGTTACGACACCTACATTAATATATAATATTATATACGGATTTCTAAAATTAATATTAACGTATCACACCGCCCGTGCACGCGGATTCCGTGCGTGTACATTGTGCACTCGCAATATTGTAATATTGTAAACCCCGACACTTCCAGTCTATACGTAGTAAAGTATTTCCGGGAGGGTTTCGTGGAAAAGAAAAAAAACCTCGCGAGTTTCTAGTCGTCTGGTGCGACGAACGATTCGGCAGTTTTTTTTTTTTTGTATTTTTGAACGTTTTATTTTCTTATAAACAGTATGAACCATGCGAAAAATATAAAATAATTTTGCGTGCAAAGCACGCAAAATGTAACAGTTGGCACGAGTACATACTCTCTCATAACCACTGGTTACGATCCGGTTACTTAGAGCGACCCATACACGATCAATATTTATCGACCGATATCATTGTCAAATTACTGACGAACATTGACGATGACCGCGGACGTGTCAATATTATCGATCAATTTACTATCATTATCGAGTCGCCTGGTCCGTAATCACAGCGCGTCAACAAAAATCAAAAATGTTTAATTTGTGTTTAATATAATGACAATACACGATCGATATTTGATATTGATCAATAGTATTACTGATCGTGTATGGGAGGGGGGGGGTGGGCGAAACAAACAAATACAATTTAAAACAACGATAATAACTGTTACGGGGATTTTCAGATGGGCGATTCGATGCTGTTCGCATTCGTACGGAAAAACGTGAACGGCATACAGTTCGAGGAAATCGCGGAGGAAATATGCTCGAGACTCGACGACGGAAAAACGTCGGAACCCGGCAGCCATTGTCACGGCTATGTCGACGGTCCCGAACTCGGTCGAGCTCTGTCGATTCCGGTGTAAAAACAGCGAAACGTCAGTAATACGCGTTACCCGTAAACCGGAACTCGTGCGGGAACAGAAAAAAAAAAAAAAAACACCCCGTCAACCGCATACCCAAATCGATATGACCGACGTGAGTTTTCACAGTTCCCAAGCACAAACATTTTCTACTATTTATTTTATTATTTTTTTTTTTTTTTTTTTTGTTTTCTACCCGTCAACAAAACAATGTGATTCCGATACCTATACACTGCACAATAAAATATATCAAACAATAACAACAGATTTAAAACGTTATTAATTAATCGACATTCGCGGTATAATTTCCGTACATATTTGAAACGCGGCCCGGCGTCCACTGACCGGTTTTTGTCGCGCGTCAAAACGAATAACAGATCGTCTCCACCACCTTCGTCCCAACGACCATTTGACCCGATCTCCCGCCTCCCATACACCGGCTGTACCCACGTTATTCACGATCGCGTTATCCTTTCCGCCCACGTTCCAGGACAATTTTTACCGCCTCAGAATCCTCTCACCCCGTGACGTGCCCAAACAAACCACCTCGGTCGGTCTATTTTCTCCGCCAACGAAGCCGCGCCCAAGCAACCTCTCGTCCTCGACTCGTTCCTTATCCGATCTTCTCTCGTCACTCCGCTCGTCCGCCCAAGCATCCTCATCACCGCTACACCCGTTCTCTGTTCGATTTTTTCTGCCTGCCGCCGTCCCCCCACCCTCCAACACTCCGGACCATACGAGATTGCCGGTCTCGCCACAATTTTGTACGTAACTTAACCTGAAGTCCCATTGGAATTCTCTATTCGCGTAAAAGACCCCCGGACGCTTCTCGCCGCTCTATCCAACCACACCGTTTCGACGTCCTCGTGAAAGCCGCCGTTATTTTGTACAAATACCCTAGGGTACTTAAAACTCTCGACTTCGCCCATGACCGCTTACTGCCTGTCCGCTGTCTCGCTCCGTTCCTTCGCGCCCACACCCCGTTTCACGACGGATAACAGACACGCACTTTTACGTAACAGCGCCTGCTCTCCGCGGACCCGTACTCGAGCCGGGCCGGCTTAATTATATTGTACGGTTAGGTATTCCGCGGGTAAAACGCGTGCGGCCCGCGGCGACCGTGTAACACGCAGACCGATAATTATCGTGGTTTTAAACGCGTCCGTGTAACGACGTCCGATCGGGTTTTCAACGGAACACTCGGCTCTACCCAACGCACAAATATCGGCGGCGCGCGAATAGAAAATATAAAACTACGGTAGGTTAGGTCGTGTGGTTGGTAATTTGTTTTATTTTTCCCCCCGTACTGGCCGGTATGAAATTTCAATATTGAATAGGTAACGCAACGACAATGATGAAAAAACAAAAAAAAAAACAACCGAATTACTCACCCGGGAGCCGAATGCCGAACGGAGATCTGGAGACTGTTCGCCGGTCCGGCGCGGGCGCGCGCCAGTGGAAATGCCGGAAATGCTCGGGCGCGGTGTTTAGCGTCCGCCGGAACACCAGAACACGACAGTATTGTTCGCAAAACTGACGCGGGCAAAATGATATTGCTGTGATCCGCGCGTTACCGCCGCCGCCGGAATGCAGCGAAATTCCCGCAGGGTGTCTATAATTACAACGCGCAGGCACGGGTAATACGAGTTTCGACTACGGATCTCCCACGGTTCATCCGTTCATTCGTTATCTCTAGACGGGCGGCGGTCCGCCGAAACGCCGATAAGTCCGCACAACGGGAACGATAAGATAACAAGCGATTTAATAACCGTCGCTCGGCGTTATTTTTGTTTCCGCCGACGATCGTTCGTCCCGGACAACGGATAACGACGTCATTCGTTGTGTCCGCGGTGGATATTTCGTTCGGGGTGTTATCGCGCCCGGCGTACGCCGGCGGAATTGAAAATCCGAAAACGATCCCGGACTCCGCGGAAATGCAGAATACAGAATGTAACACGGCCGGAACTCGGAAGTGACGATCGCGATGTAAACAAAAACGCGACGGCCGTCTTTCCGAACATTTACACGCCGGGATAGATGACGCGATTCCACTGTATAATGTTTATAATATGGTGAAAACATTTATTTATTTTTTATTTTTATTTGTTCAAAATCAGCACCCCCAGTCGGCTTTTTCATAGTAACCAATGAATATTTTAACCACGTAATTCGTAAGTAATGACAACGCATCGGAACAAAATGCAGATTTCCCATGCGCGTGCGTATGAAAAATAATGTTAAAATAGTTACGATAAGTTTGTACATACAAAACTGCAAATGAAATGTGTAGTCGCGTAAAGAGGTTTTGTGGGGGCGGACATCCCCCACGGGTCTTTTATGTGTCCAGAATTTTAGCACCCTCAAAGATGGTGGTCTAGTCGCGCGTTTTGTTACATTTTGTTCGTGTTCATGACCTCCGGCTCGTCACATACGCAATGAGGAGGAATTCGAAGTATTGGCTTGAAATGACAACAACATTGTATTAATTTTATATGTTGAAATTACATATTTTTGCCAAATTACAAATGACAAATTTTGATTTATTAAATACAATTTTTTTTTTTTTTTTGATCCGTTATTTAAATTCTCGTTATCGGCTTCCCACAGCACGTTATTCGCTACCTTCTTGTGGATTATCGATAAATTTGACACACGAGTTAAAGAAAATGTCATTGTTAACAGAGATATTCTGTCGGTTAAATCCATGGATTAATATTCAAGAATCAAGTTCAATGGTAAAATGAACGGTTGAATGGTTCCAAGGCTTAATGCATGGCTTATTCCCCGCACTAGTGGCGTGCACTTCAGATTTTGATTCTCGTCCTACAACAGCGCACATTGCGATCGCGCGACAGAAAAATAAAAAAAAAAAACTAACTATTATCTATACTGTTATTTTGTTATGGTGTTTGAACGATCTATAATACATGAATAACAGCAATTAAAGCAACGCTAAAACGATGCAAATTACTGACGATATTTTCTATATTTGTATCAGTTTTTTATATTTTGAATTAATAAATATTGCATTATAATATTATGTCACATTGTCAATATGTATTCATTAATAATACGTTTCGCTATATTCGAAACCGCAGCCGAGGAGCACGGCTATTATTTATACAGAACAATTCATTTTTATCCAAACAAAAGCAATAGTTCGTTTACAATGACACATTTTTACAATCGCCGTCATTGTTTAATACACTCATTTCCAACATCTATTTATTTATTTACCTAAGTAAGTACTTAAGTCTCTTTTCACTTAACGTTCTTTATTATAAATGAACACGTTTTTAAAACAATAGTTTTTTTTATTGTGTAATATTTTTAATTTTCTCGATTGGAATCAAATAGTACTACAGTGAATTGTGTAGTTAAATTTTCGGTTAAATTAAAATAAAATTAACGAAGTCCATATATACATGATTTGAAAGGCCGTAATATTTACGATTTTCGTCAAAATTTAATATTAAGACTTATATAAAAAAAAAAAAAACCTATATTGCTCTCAATTTTTTTGTTTTACTAAGTACGGCTTAAAATAAATCTCCTGTACAATTTTCAAACACTTTTACCGAATAAAAAAAAAAAAAAACTACGAAAATAACTCGCAAACATAAAATAACGATAAATAGCTTATAATCACCAAAGTATTTCGAAAATGTTATCATATCAAAGACAATGCAAATGTAGGTTTTATACGGCTTTAACAAGCCTTCAGTGACTGTAGTAGGTTTTTAGGGATCTACAATGAGCTGTCAGAGGCTGCAGTAGATGAAACGTAACTAGGCTATTAGTTAACCGTAATGAACTGTCAGTGGAGACGTTTTCAAGAGAAACTGTTTGGCGAAAGAAATTGAGCCCCTGTGCGTCTTTTGGGGTTGGCAGAATTTATATTTCCCGGGCTGCATTGATAAGATGTTAAAATCCTGGTACTCGTATGGTTTTTCGTAAAACGTGTTGTTTAATTATAATTATTTGCTTTTTGTTATTCGTGATTCGATTTCCTGTATACCTACAGTATAGGTAGCGGGTGAAAGTACACTCGTTAACTCGGAAAGTATTAACTTTTTTCAGAATTTGTTTTTTAGAATGTTTAAGAAACAAGCAGCTATACAATTTTATATTTATGATACTTTTTGCCGTAAATATTCATCAATTTTAATTGTATGATTTTTCTCAATTGTCATAAAAACCACTTTAGATATCAAAAATGACGTCTTCAATCCACCAACTAGATACAGGTACAAATAGTTTAAATAACTTTATGTATTCCACCTTCCCAACTACCCACCTACAACAGTGGCCGCACGCGCCAGCAGTGCCGTCCTAAGTATCAGCTCTTTTTATTATTATTATTTCTATTCATTATTTCCGTTTATTTTAAATATTCTAGTAAAAAACTTTTGTCATAGAATTATTACAGTGTTTGTCAACTCTTGTTTATTACACTTTTTTTTCGAAGATTAACATTAACGAGTTTGGAGACTTATGCAACCATGTCAACATAATTATTAGTTATTATTTATTAGGCGATTAGTAATAATAGTAGTGATGATGTAATTATAACGTTATGAATTATGACTAATGTATTATATTATCTAAAATATAATTAATTGGTCCAACTGTTATTATTTTTGACACTAAGTAGGTTAAGTAGGTGAACCTACATTTTATTGGATGGGGAGTATTCGAAATTATTTGTGTACTTTTAGTATTGTACGTAGAACAGTCAGTAAACAACTATTATGATATTATTTTCAAATTACACACGCGGAATTTAAATGTTCATATTGTAATGATTTTTTGAAATTTACAACAATTCACTTAAAGTATCACTCTACGAAAATTTAATTTTAGTAAAAAGTGCTACACTTGAAATCGAAGTGAAATTTATGGTAGAATTTTTATGCACAGCATAAAAAAAAAAGAATTACAAACATCATTGTAAAACTGAATCTAAAATCCGAAAAAAAAAATTAGCTTAGAATACGTATTATAATACGTTGTGTGCATTGACGACTGGTTTCAATTTAAACATCAAAATCAAGTCAGATAAGTTATACCACTTATTACACATAATACTAAACACACTACCCATATTACCCCATGCAACGTTTGTAATTATAATACATTTTTGATTTTCCGAGCGGTTTTCATAATAATTGAGGAAAAAAGTAGGAACAACGGAAAATTTACGAAATGCGCAGCCTTACTTCAAAACATGTAAAACCGAACTTCGCTCAGAATCGTTTTTCGTTAGCAATGATCAATCGTTAAGTACAGATATACATTTAAAATCTCCTTTATCTTGCCAACTTCTGACCAACAATAGAAGTCCGTATTTTATTTTATAATTTATATATATTTTGACTTTTTAACCATTAACACTTTGAATTTAATTTGATTTAATACAAATGTTGTATTTTTATAGTAAATAAGGTGGAAAAGGGTGGATGGATTTAAACGTTTTAGGTATGGGTATCTACTGTGTAATTCAGTGACGGATGACGGGGTCGGGGGGAGATGATTTTCAACACCACTATATTTATTATTATTACCTACAACTTAATACTTAAGAATTCATATAAGTATATAGGTAGAATGTCTAAAGGTACATTAAATCATAAAATGTTTGATAATTTTTTTTTATTGTTGGTTTGTTAAAATGATAAAAAGTCACGGCCGTATTTTGTAATCATCAATTAAATCGCTCATTATCTATGATTGTAATAAATAACCATTGAACTATTGATATAGAATTAAATGATAACAACTGACTACAGCTGCTATTAATTGCCGCTCTAATTGTGTTGAAGCCCAAAGGCCAACAAGATAGTTTGATTCAGAGACGACGTTTAGTTTTTCGCTTATGTACAATAATAATTGTACCCGCACATCATTGTTTTTTTTACGGTTATCATTTATCAACGGCTCACATTTGCATTATTGTTGTATAGATATTTAGTACGTATTAGATATATAATATTTAAAGTAGGATTTTTGTAGCATCTCCACAGCTATAGTACATAAGTTACTAACAATTAACATTATTTTAATAATGTCGAAACGTAAAATATGTTCATATTTACCGCAGTTAGTACTGATCAAAATAAGAATTTTCGTAAAACATCATCTAGTAAGAGTTCAGCCGAGTATCTAAAAATTCAACAGTCAAAAAATGTCGAAAAAGAACAACGGAAGGGGTTATGAATATTTTTCAGAAATGAAAACCAATCAAATTTGCATATATTATATTTTCGTGATAAATTTCCTTTGGCATACCCCCTTGGAAATTTACCATACGCCCCCCCCCCCGCCCGGGGAATGAAGATCTGAAATAAATACCGGAGGAGATGGACCCCATTAATTCTGTGTGTTTGAAGATCGCCTTTCCCTCTCAGAACTAGGATAGCCACTGGTAACTATTAATTCTTATTTTCAAAATTTGGCGAAAACCGGTAAGTTCATTTTTCGGATGTTAAAGGCAGCATCTAGTATAGCTGTATGGAAACAAAATATAAATAGCAATGTTTAACTTATGCATGCCTGTTGAATTTGTTATATCATAATCCCGCGTAAATTGTAAAACTTAAGCGGGATCATGATGCCCACGAGTACCTATTATGATGTTACGCACGTGTATGAGGTGTACACGTGTAATACGTGACGTATTACTTATTATAGGTACCTAGGTATATGCAATAACCGAACGTTTATTAATATTACACTTCGATCATCGTAGTCAATAGATATAAAAATAATACAAATAATTTTTACTGTTATACTTCATATTTAAAAGGCTATACACTAATGGTGTTTGTATTTTGCAATAAGAAAAAATCGACATTTCCACATCGTAAATCGAAAGTTTTAGACGACGATGACGTGTTTAATATTGGATGATAATTTAAAAACTGATAGGCCTGTACGGTACAGGCTGTACCTAAAAACTTTTTGTACATCGAATTATTTTAAAGGGATTCAATACGTACTAAAATACATTTTCGTTTATTACAAACTGCATAGGATGTTTGTTTGTTATGGGGTCAAATCTTGCGTTTTAAAATCAAGGTACTTCCCGATGAGACACATAGAGAACTGAAACTAGCCAAGTCGTAGCAAAAGTGTAAGTCGGATGCCAATCAAAGATGTCTTTAGGTCAATTGCACAGGGGGAAAGGGGGGGAGTGGGGGCGTTGCCATCACTCATGTTGGGTTAAAAATAATTTTCGGAGTAGAATTATTTATAACTTGCTTTATTTTTTTTATAATTATTCAAGGTGCGGATGCGGGCATTTTTTAAAATATTGACAAGCACAACGAAAAAAAGGTCATCAAATTAGTTGACATAAAATAGTCGGTTATCGGGGAATAGGGCAAATAATAAAATCCACCCAAAATAGATCGTTCGATACGCAGAGTTCTGATGTTTTGTGAAATATGTTTCTGCGATAGAGTTCGATTATTTGTTGCTGGTTCGTATTATACCTAACTATTAACGAAGAGACTTACTTCGCTTATTTGCTTTGGCGAAATACGGATTTTATTTCAAACAGATTGCATTTTCGGCCGGATGTCGATTAAAACCATAATATTATAAGTAGGTAGCTCGACCAATGTCAGATGCAATTATACCTATTCGTTCCCAAACTCTCGGGCATTCGACCTTCAGAGTTGGCGTATACATACGAATGAAAAAAAAAATAAATGGCAACTATTATTTTTAAATTTTAACAATCGGCCGAGTGGAAACACACGATAGCATAACTTCAAACCAACATACACAAACTATAACGACGCGCAACAAAATATAGTGCATTATTATAATAAATCATCATCGTCGGAAAAAAAAAAAAATTGTAAACAAAAAAATGAATCTATTCTTAATACAATGACGTAATGGAGTCATTTTGAGAGGAGAGACTTAATTTAAGCGTTAAATTTATTTTTCATTTGTTTTGTCTTAAGTAGACATTTCGATTCATCCCTGACAATTGGGTTTAGAGAAAACAAATGTTATTATAATATCGGAAAATGTTCCGATTAAGATTAGATCTTCGCTAACAATCATTAATTCAAATTTTCGATTCTCAATTAATTCGACCGATTCACGTGATTTCTAACGTTTAAATTGAAATGCAAAATTGAAACTCATTGGAAACGGTCACATAATTTTTTTTTAGTGGAAATTTCAAACATCAATTTAATAACAAAATGAACGACAATATTCGAGTTGAGGGAGAACATTTTTTTCTTTGGTATGTACCTGAATTCCAGAAAAACTCTTTTCCTCGTCAGTCGGCCAATTTGGTACGTTTGGAATAGCTGGGGGAGGGAAAGGGGAGTGGAGATTATAAATTCACTTGGAAAATTAAAATTTATTTACGAATTCTATGCGTAACGTGTAGGTACGTATTTTAGAATTTACTACAATTCGTATCGGAATTGTAGTCGTTTTTTTTTTTTTTTTTTTTTTTTTTTGTAATTTCGAACAAGTCGTGCTCGCGTAATAATTAATCGTCCCGAAAACCTATATCCAGAAATTCGTTTGAAAATTCAACAATTCTGCCCGATAATTACTGTTACACGCCACTGCAGTTCGGTCTACCGGTCCGCGGGCCGATCAACAGAATACAACGCAAGTGACTGGGATACTAATCAATAATTTACATATTATTATAGTTATTGGTGTTCTTCTTATCGGACGGATTTCTATTTTCGCGTTCACCTACGACGACCGTGAAAACCGAAATCAAGCGATTAGGACGTGTAAGCGCACGTTGGCGGTTCCGAACCACCGGCGTCCGCCGCAGTGCGTCCCGTACCGCGACCCTCGTGGCTTGCCCGTGATTAGGCGAAGAAGGTCCGTCAAAGGTCGCGAAGAAGTTAAGTATAACGTTGCGGCGGCGGCGGCGGCGGCGGCGGTTACGACCGGCGGACGGGGGGTGTGGCGGAGAGCGACGCCGGCCGCCCCGGACGCGCAATGACGTTTTAACAGTGCCGTAATAATCGTGACACCTGCGGAACGGCTCTTTCGACGCGAAACCACGTCCACGTCCCGACGAAACTGCGCGGGGCCTACACGCGGCCGTGGCATTTCCGCTTCGGTCGAATCGATAACGACGCAATTGCGTTTTTGGGAAATGTCACCGTGCAATACCCGCACGGACAACGGAGAGACGCGTACGGGATATGCGCGCACCTTGTCGGTGTTTCCATGGGGACCACCGGGTACCAGTTACGTCGGGCCGTACGGTTTCATAAGGTGAGGCGTTTTATCCCGATAGTGACGCGTGATAAATCGCATCGGTTTACCGCCGGCTCACTTACAGTACTGTTGTAGGAGCGACCCATCCATTTGTTTATTGTCTGCGGTAAAACCGAATTTCCATTAGCTAAATAAAACAATATGAATATCATTGGGTACGATTTTGCCGGTGAAATGTTCGGGTAATAATAATTTCCGCGCTACGGACCGACGTTTTGAAAATCGAAATCCGACGAACCCAGTCGGTTTGAAACGATACTCGTGTACGCTGCGGCGGTTCGGAACGACACACGCACGAGAGTGGGCAATGCGATGACGCGTACAGTGGGATGGCTGGGGGTCAACCAGCCCCACGAAATGTCTTCCTTCGCTACGTTTTAAAATCGAGTTTTACATTTAACAACATAATATCTTATACGACAAAACAAAACCGAATTTAATTTCATCAAAATCAATTATTCCGTACTTAATAACAGTGATAGTACTGTACTAATAATACGCGCTTTCCTGTATACGGAGGTCGGGGGGGGGGGGGTGGTGCGCGGAATTATTTACCGGTAACAAATTTCCTGGCAGGAAATTTACTGAAATGTCGGTAAATCGGTACATTTTTCGACACGACGATCAAGGTGTCTTGATTTTTTTATGATTTTTATCAAGATTTGAATTAAAACAATTTAAAGAAAAAAAAAAAAACGAAAGAAATTTGATAAACTCAAACGGCTGTTGGTAACGCGAAACGCGTCGGAATGTTTTGATAATTATTGCACTGTAGGTATGTGTCTATGTCTAGAAAGTGCTAATATCAATATTCGGGATGAATCACTGTTCAGGCGTCCGCGGTTATCTTTCAACCGGATTAGACGAAATCCGTCAACAGAAAACGCCCCCGGAGTCGATGACCGGAGCAGAGGAGTTTCAGGTAGATATAATTGTAATTGTTTACAGAGCAGAAAAAAAAAACGAAACACGCTACGGTAATGCGCTCCTCGCTATTGAGAACCGAGAGGCGGTTCGATTTGAAAAACGGCAAAAACGAAAAAGCTCGCGTGTTCAACGAGTAGCGGGCGAGACGAGCGCCGCCGTAACTTAAGGACGGAGAAGAATCGCTCGGTACGGGATGGCCGGCGGCGAGTCGTGTGTTTGTTGTCGTCTGGTCGGCCCCGCGTTAAATCAATCGCGCGAGCGCGCGCGCGCGGGTGCCGCCGACATTTCGGTCGCGTCGTGCCGGTCACACTGGCTGTCGGATGCCCGTGCGGTTTTTTCGGCGTGTGCCGCGGACGGGAACGTTTTGCCTGCGATGATGCGACCCGCGGTCGGGTATCTGGCCGCGAGCGTGTGGGAAGGGGCGCCGACGAAAACCCCGCCGCGCCGCCGTCGCCCGCAAACGCCCGCGGCCGACCGGCGACCGTCACGATGTCGGTCGTCCCGACGACGCCAGCCGCGGCGGCCAGGATCGCAATCGTCTGTTCGGCCTTTCCTTGTCAGACCTGCGCACCAGCACATCGCCATATTGCCGACGTCCGCTCTTCCGCGCGATCCGAAATAGACACGCGTTTGGATAAATTATTGTATTCGTTTTTCGGTACGTTCAGTTGTCATTTACGTTCCCGCAGTCTCGACTCTTGTTGGGTGTTTTTTTTTTTTAATTTTTTTTATGTGTTTTCAACCACGATAGAATTATATTTGCAAATTTTTTTTCCAGTCCGACAACTACTCAACGTACGCCCAGCCGCCAAAAATGAGCCTGTTCCGTACGACCGTTAACAAACTCTTAGAAGTCAACCAGGTACGGCATTACAATATTATTATCTTATTGATCATTGCCCATTCCCGCCGAATCGAAATTTTCGACCGTTCGTGTCGTCGCAAACGCCAATCGGTGCCCAGGGAACCGTAGACCCGAGTAACGTTTCCAAAATAACGAACGTACCGTGTTTACCTACTAAACTGACTCGTTGTCCTTGCTGTGCACATCGTCGTTTTTCCGGTGAAAACTTGACCGATGTGCACGTACGATAATATTTTCCATTTTCAGTGTAATATAGGTACTTGGTGGAAATCTTCCCCGGTGGTTTTTTTTTTTACGACCAATGTTATCAACCAAAGACTTAACCTAACGTGAGCTCTATTAGGTAATTATTTCATCAATGACCTACATTAACCTTGAGAGAGCTACCTACCTTCGAACTATATTCAGAAATTGGCATGTTATGTTTTTTATTTTAGTTCAATGAATGAACATTTTTCAACTTTTTAGGAACATATCCAAATTTAATTTTTAATTTTTGAGGTCGTTGATTGATTATTGATTATAAGTGGTACGCGCTTCTCTGAATATTTAAGATTTTCTAGAAGTGTACACCTTTTTTTAAAAAATATTTCAATTATCTCTTTCCTTCATTTTTATTAAAACGAAATGTCACCATTTTCAACAATGTTATTTATTTATTTCAAAAACCATAGTGGTAAATAAATAATCTCTGTTTTTCTCGCGGGCAATATAGCAGCAAAACTGTGTTTTCCGAGTTCTAATAGTATTCTAGCTTTGAAATAATTTCATCAATAACTTTTATTATGTTTTCACAAAGGGGTTTTTTTTTTTTATGTTATCTATTAATCTAATTCTTTTTGTACCTAAACATTTGAATTTTTTTTAATTTCAATATAAAATATATCAATGCAAACATAAAAACCATCATTAATTTGGTGAAATATTTTTCGGTTTGTCTATTTTAAATAGAGTAGGTACTGTTGGAATTCTGGAAACACATAGATGCTGTATCTATTAACTACTAGAAAGACAAGACAGCAAAACACTATTGTATAGTCCTACTAAAAAAAAATACTAAGTAGGCATTGTGAATGCTTTAACAATGATCATATTTTGTAAATCAGTAGGTATTACGTTGGTAGTTGCCTGTAATGCTAATTTTAATTGTATACAGATCATTATAATGTCTAATTAACTTCAATATACTTGATAGAATTAATTAGTCACGTTTTTGTGTTAACATTCAAAAAAAATTTGGTATTATTTTTTTCTTAAGATAAAATATGTCAAATTAAAAAAGGAAAAGAAGTACCTAAGTACGATATCAATACTAGTTATAAGTTATATGATGTTGAACTTGATATATTAGTACATTTTTCAGGAAAATTCATAGATATTTGATACATATTTTGTTTAATAATACCTAAAATATCACAAATCCTAATTTGAATTTTGATAATTGTGCATATTGGTTTATTTACGGTAAAAAAAATATTTGCTTATGAGATGAGTAAAAAAAAAAAAACAATTTAAACTTATTATTACCAAATTAATGAATTACCATTTTAAATGTTATGTAAGTTTGATTACTTACAAACAAAATTGAAAATATCAAAATTACCATATTTTATAATAGAAGGTACTTATATGTATGTGAATTATTACTGTGTAGTACATGTCTATAGCATAGTTTGATGTTTTTTTTATTGCGTATGTATATATATATATATATATTAGTGATTTAAGTTTAAAGTCTGATTTATTACTGTTTATAATATAAATATTTTAAGTTCTAGTAAAAATAAAAAGTTTGGACGAAGCATACATATTTTTTTGTTCATATTTTACTATTAAACAGTCTTGTTATTTAATCTGTTCAATATATTTGTTTTATAAATGAAACTATTATACATGTTTATAGGTTGCTGTTCCATTATGGAGTGCTTCCCGCTCAATGGCAAGTACTACTGATCTCAAAAGTATAGTTGCTGAAAAGTTAAAGCAGAGTGGAGAAGAAATCAAAGCTTTCAGAAAGCAAAATGGAGCTACTGTTGTTGGTGATGTTACAGTTGACATGGTAATTAAAAACTGTAATACTAGAACAATAGTTCCTATTAAACATTTTACCTTTACATGTGTTTAATTTTCTGAATTGTACAGATGTATGGTGGTATGCGAGGTATCAAAGCCTTGGTTACAGAAACATCTGTATTGGATGCTGATGAAGGTATCCGTTTCCGTGGATATTCTATTCCCGAATGTCAAAAATTATTGCCCAAAGCACCGGGTGGTAATGAACCACTTCCCGAGGGATTATTTTGGCTTTTGATAACTGGTGATATTCCAACACCGGAACAAGTTAAATGGTTGTCCAAAACTTGGGCTGAACGTGCTGAACTACCATCACATGTAGTCACCATGCTTAACAACCTTCCTAATACTGTACATCCCATGACACAATTAGCATCTGCTGTTGCTCTGCTCAACTCAGAAAGCAAATTTGTTCAATCTTACACTAATGGAGTTCATAAATCCAAATATTGGGAAGTAAGTGTTCCTGGTTATGTATATTATTTTTAAGGCATATATAATACCATGGTGTAGGTAGTGAACTTATTGTTTTATAGAAGTATGTTCTACACTGAGCTACACCAATACATTAATTTTTTTTAAATTTTAAAGTAATTTGTACTATCTAGAAAATCACTACTCTATACTGAATCTGAGTAAAAGTGTATTAATATTAATTATTCATTTTATATTCTTATATTAAAATTACCTGAATAACTTCCATGAAATTATATTTTTATCAACACTATTATTATTAAGGCCATACAGATATAAATAGATCAAGGTAACAGGAAATGAACTACTTCGAAATAATAATTTTTACTGATAGATGTTAAAATTTAAGTTTAAAAATAAAACATATTTCAATTGCAATACTTAAAAATTTTTAAAATTATATATTCAATAAAATGATTTATAACAAAATCATTTTACTTTTAAACATTTGTTAGTTCCTTTAAATACATGGAATCTGATTAAATATGAATGTGTATTTATTATAAATTTAACATTTTTTCATTGTTAATTAGGACACATACGAAGACTCCATGGATTTAATTGCCAAGTTACCAGTGATTGCTGCTACAATCTACAGAAACATCTATCACGGTGGAAAGCAAGTTGGTACTATTGATACCGAACGTGATTGGAGTGCAAACTTCACATCTATGTTAGGCGCCAATGAATCCCAAGAATTTGTTGAGCTCATGCGTTTATACTTGACCATTCATTCCGATCATGAGGGTGGTAATGTATCTGCTCATACAACTCATTTGGTGGGTTCTGCCCTTTCTGACCCTTACCTATCATTCAGTGCTGGTATGTGTGGTCTCGCTGGTCCTTTGCATGGGCTTGCTAACCAAGAGGTAATTAAAATTTTCATAAATATATACTGTGGATATAAAATCAAATGTGTAATAATATGTATGACACATTCCTGTTTACTTATGGAAATAATAAATTATATTCTAATAACATGTAGTGAAGCACAATTATCTTATCTGAGTGAATAATGACAAGGAAAATAATTATTTTTTATTATGAGTTGGCCCATTTATTCTGATTTAGTAATAATCGTTTATGTTTTTCATTCCTTCTGATGTCATTGAGCATTATTATTATAGTTTATAATTGAAAAATTACTCATTATTTCAAAGAAATTAATGATCTTTAAATGTATTATATCGCATTATATTATTTTCCTAGGTTTTGGTGTGGTTGCAAAAATTACGTAAAGAAGTTGGAGACTCTGTAACTAATGACCAATTGAAAGAATTTATATTGAAAACATTAAAAAGTGGACAAGTGGTACCAGGTTATGGACATGCAGTTTTACGTAAAACCGACCCACGGTATACTTGTCAACGCGAGTTTGCTTTGAAACATTTGCCCAAAGATCCATTATTCAAATTAGTATCACAAGTATTCGATGTTGTACCTCCAGTACTTGGCGACCTTGGTAAAGTCAAGAACCCATGGCCTAATGTAGATGCTCACTCTGGAGTTTTATTACAGGTACAAGGATTTATCCAAACATTGAATATAAATTTATGTTGTTATAACTTATTAAAATGTTGATTAATATTGATTTTTTAGTACTATGGTTTAAAAGAAATGAACTACTACACAGTATTGTTTGGAGTATCTCGTGCTCTAGGAGTATTAGCTTCGTTGGTTTGGGACCGTGGACTGGGTCTGCCTATCGAACGCCCCAAATCGTTATCTACTGAAAAAATGAAGGAATTGGTCAGCAAATTGTCTGCAAAAGCTGCATAAACAATAATTTGGCTGTGTACTGTGTGATTTTTTGTTAATATTTTCTTTTTTTTTTTTAAAGAAAAGTCCTGCATAAAAATCCCATTTTTTTTTTTTATCATTTCTTGAACCCCCGTCCAATTCATTTCTTACAGTACCAATTAAATCATTATATCTGTATTTGCAATACACTGTTAAAACTTAAAAGTTTTTGTTCTTTTTTTTTTTTTAAACAATTTATTTTATTTTTATGTTCTTGGACTTATGAAAGTAAATATTCTAGAATCTCTTGTATACATAAAATTAGTTGTAACATTTTCATAATTCTATAGTTTATTTATATTTAAAAAAAAGAGGCCATTATGCTTTTTCCTTTAGCGGAGAAGTAAGTATACGCAAGTATAACGCGTTGTTGTTTGTTAGTGTTCATATTATTATGTCATGGACAATAAATTATTAATTTATTAGATAAAATATTGTTGATTGTTTATGTCTGGCAAGTGTAAATAATAATTTTAGGATCTTATATCATACTTGCTAATGTTGAAAGTTCATTGTATTATTAAATAACAAAAGTTTCATAGTTTTATTACCAATCTGTTGATTAATTGTTGAATTGAAACAATTGTCGATTAATATTGTGTTATACATTACATATTAATTATTAATCGTCATTATTCAATAATTGTACAGTGTTGTTTTGCAAATAAATATTACGTATAGAGATGTACTCTTCTGATTAGTGAACTGATTGTACGGCGACAGAAACTAATAAAAAAAAAACTAATCTAGGTATTTTAAACATTGTTGGGTATGTTTTCACATAGTACAATATTCCTTTGAGTGGTTAGATACGTTGTTGCACACTTTTTGTTTTTAATTGTATATAGTATGTAATTTATTGAATAATTGACTTCTATGGAAAATACTGCTGTGAATTATACTCTATATAGCTGAGCATATTTTAAGAAATTACGACCGAGTGATGTACAACTATGTCTTTGAGAACTATGCCTTGTGCCTATACCAGATGTACCCTTGAATGTAATGTCCATAGCCAAGACAAACGTGTGCGCCTATGTTACACTGGTATCTAGTAGTTAACGCGAATATTTTCGAATTTTAGTCGACAAGTCCCGATACAATCTTGTGAATGTGGAAATAACCAGATATCTATGTAGTCGTAGTTATAAATAATACAATGTCTAATCAACAGCAAATCGCAGACTACCGGGTCTTCTACCCGTATTCATCCAGTACCGTCCACTAGGAAACACTTTATTTCTTTACTTAATAATATGTTTAAATAAACTATGCTATATATAATGCAAATTATTTTTCGGTGCTGTTGATCTGGGCCGTAGATAAAAAAAAAAAAAATTACCCATATAGGTGACTTTGATATTTAAATACCTTCGACATAGTCGTATGCGTGACATTTATCATTATGCAAACGGTTAAACATAATATTTAATACCTGTTTCTTTAGTAAACAACTGTATAATTTTCAGCCGATTCCATGTTGTGTAAAAAATAAAAACGAGTTTTTTTTAACCGGCACGTTGAAATTCTTCTAGGTCTTGATTCGCTCTGAAGCTGATATTATTTTAATATTTTAAAATGTATTTAGATTACGTAATTGAGTACGGACACTGATACTTTTAAAAATTGGCATTTGTCGGTTTTAAAGGTAAAACGTATTTATAATATTATAATATTTGTAACATATATAGTATTTTTCTTATCTCTACAAATTATAGATTAGGTAATGTATAAAAAAAAAAAACAAAGACGTTTTACAATATTCAGAATTTTCTAAATATTCTATATCAACTCGTTAATCACTCATGCTTTACTGCGTTAGTGATGAATGATGATAGTAATTGTAGTCACTGTCACATGTACAAAATAACGTGTTTAATTTTTGTTTTTTTTTTTTTTTTTTTTTTTTTTTTTTTATAAATAAACCGATGAATTTGGTTTCAAAATAGTACCGTCTACATATTTTTAGGAGGATAATCGAATTGCACTTTCTACCTACTTGTCTAGTTTTAAAGTCGGAAAAAACAAAAATGTACCGTTTGAATTTTTAAAAGTGTTAAAAACGTGTAATCGTCGTAACTGCATCTGAATTACAGTAAAAAAAAAATATTTTCCAGGATAATTTGACAAGCTTAAAAAACATTTTTATAGGTGGTAACTATATAAAAAAAAACTAATTTTGAACCATGCCAAAGATTAATTTATATAAGTGGGAAGGGACGTTTAAAACTTGAATCAAGTTTTTTCCGAACATTTTTGTTGAAGTGCATTTCATAAGTGCAGTTCGACCATTACCTTGTTTATAATAGCTAAACAGGTTTACCTAATCTAACCTAACCTATTTACGCATAGCTGTTTTATTATTACTAAAATCCATTTCGAATTTTGTTTTACGTAGATGCGTTTTCGTTGCATGTTATATGTTCGCGTGTCGGCGTAAAGGCAGCGACGGCCTTTTAATATAAGTAGGTTCCTAGGTATATAACCATATGACTTTGTAATTTGTATATTGGAATATATGCATAGTATTATGAGAGGCTATTGAAATTTTAAAGGCTTAGCGCCTAAAACCCTTTTCCTGTTTGCTCTTATGGCCTGTGGCCCCCTATGCCCCCTAGGCCCCCTCAGAAGACGCGGATTTTGTTTTATAGGCGGCGGTTGTCCCAAATTTTGTTGGGCTCGTAGCCATAAAAAAGTTCACCGGGCCACTGCATAGTGCCGCCTACACCAGTATTATACCTGATACACCGGACTCGGTACGTTTTCGAAACCGTGACATTGATCATTCAATGGTCGTCTACGAGTATTATTATTATCGTAGTAAATATGTTTTTATCGAAGAACGTTCGTTTTTTTTTTTTTTATTATTATTATTTTGACATTCAAACGTACCTAAATGGCTATATCTGTTGATAACGGTTGAAAAATCGTACGGATTTAAGTAGTTAGGTACCTACCTATACTAATCGCAACGTTGAATCGAACAATAATTGGGTATTATTTCCACGCGATCGAATTTATTACGCGTAGGTGATAATTTGTTTTTTTATTAGGCCGTTATCGGCGATAATGATAAATAATTTTTTTTTTTTTTTTTTTGATTTCTGTAGGCAGGTTATACACTTTTTCATAGAACTAAATTTATTCAATAGTATGTAAACGCTTTTGACCACGACTTTCGACCCGCCAGTCTTTGACCAGCCGCAACGATGCCATTTTATCTATTTGCGTTTGGGTGTCCATTACCTTTAAGTCCGGCAAATTTAATATTCCCCTGTGGACACCGTCACTCTACGACATGCACGTGTCTCGGTAGGCGAAAGGGGGGGGGGCGTTGGACAGGTCAATGAAAACTATTAACTATAGACCGAGCTAAGTTAAATAGACGGAACAAAAGCCACCGGTTATTAGTAGTTAAAAAGATAACGAAAACTAAATGAAACTGTCGTTGTACAAAATTATTTATGTATTATTATTAATAAACTAAATCAAACTTTTACAGTAAATATTGTAATCCATAAAACGCAATAACACTGGAAACAGCTAACAACAAAATCGAATTTCGAAAAAAAAAAAAAGACTTATATACTTTTAACGATGGGTGGGAAAGTATAAGATATTGAGGGGAATTTAATCTATATCTGTACGCAACGATTAATCATTGCTAACGAAAAACGATTCTAAGCAGCAAAGTCCAAACATACATGTTTTGAAAGGCCGTAACATTTACGATTTTTGTCAAAAATCGTTGTTAAAATTCTTATAAAAAAAAAATAAATACTGCATTAAACTAAAATTTTTCTTTTTGACCACTAAGTACAACTTATAATAAACCTCCTGTTAAAATTTCAAGCATTTCTGTTGGTCCTAACAATTTTATCCATAGAATATCTATCGAATAAAAATTACGTGCAAAACTCGCAAAATTAAAATATCTATAAATAAATTAAAAATGGTTAACATTTTTTGAAAATTTTACCACGTCTAGAAAAGGCAAATTTAATTTTTCTATCAAAATTGTAAGTCTTTACGAATATTTCTACTGAATAAAAACAAAAAATAAAATTGAAAATAATACACTATGTACATTTTCCCGTTGTTTTGCAATTATTATGAAAACCGTTCGGAAAATTAAAAAATGACCTCCTTAATGTACCTTCCAGGTAAAATTTTCTTTCAGAAAGAGCACTACACTTGATAATCTGAGCAAGATTCCTGGTAGCAAAGGTGTTCAGAGAAGAAAAAAAAAAGAATAAACATCATTGTAAAACAAATACATTCCTCGCTTCGCTCGGAATTTAAAATCGTTTTGCGACATTTCCAGCAGTTCACATCGTAAGTATTTTTTGTTTTTTTTTTTTTTGTTTTATTTTTGTCGCTGATATTACTGGGTTACCTTGACAACACGATTAATATATATTGCATATTATTCTGCTCAGAATCGTTTTTGAGTTTACATTTATTTTTAGTTGCATACAGAATGTATAAACTAAATTACCTAAGTCGTTTAATATCGCGCGTGTAAACATTCCGTCTAAATTAATATTTTGTTAAAATTTTTAAGCTGCGTAAATGCGAGAGCAAACCGACAAATTCCGCGTTATCAATCCGTACGCAAATAAATACATTCCTCGGCGGCGACTGCGCGTGGTCCGCGACAGTCCGTAAAGGCCAACGGAAAGGTACGCGAGGTTATTTCATTTATTCATCTGTAAGCGACGGGAAAACCACCGTTGACGAAAGACGATTCCGCGCGCGATTCGGTAATGCGTAATTTGACGTGCCGTAATATTTTGTTTAACCTTCTTGCGTTTTTTCCCGATTATTATGAAAACCAATTGGAAAATCGAAAAAAAAAAAACCAAAAAAAAAAAAAAAAAGACCAAAACTGAATCATTAAAATACAAGATTGATAATTCAACAAGTGTAAAGGTCTCTTGTCGTTTTTCAATTGGAGCCGTATTTGTGCTGGGAAACACGGTTAGGTACTTATTTAAATTAACGAAATCGTGAAAAAATCGTATTTTCTTTCACCCGTTCAATCGTTTTTATTTTGAATACCGTTTCGATAATCAAAAAAATATTTTTCCAAAGTACAATATAGATAACCTGAGCGTTCGGAAATGTTACTGCACTTATACACCGGAGCAAGTTTCCCGGGAAAACACGTGTTCACAGACTAGAACAAAAATAACAGCATTGTAAAACCAACAGCTCACACTATGGCTACGTTCGGAATCTGAAACAAATGAGCTGATACTGCTGATGGACGCGCCGCTCTTGTCGGTGGGAAGCTAGGAAGATTCGGGAAATTAGAGAGGGAGGGGGGGGGGGAGAATTTAATTTCTATCTCTAAACATCTATAAATCATGCCGACGAATTATGATTTTGAGCGGAAATCGGTTAAATACGCTAGAAAATCCGCGTCTACGGTGTAACGCGAAAAAAAATTATTAGTAATTTTACCGACATGTCTTCGTAAAATTTTGCCACGCGTGGAATTTAAAATGAATAAAATAGATACATTCAATTCGATCAGAATATAATATTTAAGTACCGAAAAATTACGAAACACGATTACAAATAGTTTTCTCGTATATACAGAGTGATCAATCTATCGTGCGACACTCATTATCTCGGAAAGTATTACATTTTTTCGGAATTTGCAACTCTCTAATTTTGCGTTCATGTTATTTTTTATCACCCTTATTTTTGGGGGTAAAATCATCATATATATATATATATTTGTTTTTTATGTGACAACCTATGTAAAAAA